CTTCATGTGGAGGATTCTAACCACCATAGGGAGGGACTGGCCCGATGCCGTCTTTGTTATGCAACAGATTATTGGTCCCAAAGCAAAGCTCATTATTGCTCAGCGAGGGACTTAGCCGTTTAGAGGCAGATCCGCAATCAGCTGACTCACCCTTCTACATTACAGACGGCATTGCTGTTTGAGATGTCTGACAGTTCACAGATCAGTTTTGAGTCTGCACGATAATCCTCCTCAGTGTTGGTCCTCCTGGTCGCAGCAGTGCTCACCATGTTTTAGCCTCGGCATATTGTCAACAGAACAAATTAACAGACGGTCTACCAAAGGAAATGTTTTCAGACTCAACTCAAAACAGCCTATTTCATTGTTTTATTCTTTTAAATTTAAAATCGTTATTATATTTTAATTATATATATTTTTTTATTATACTTTATCGAAGTATTTACTAGCCCAAACACATTGAGTTTCTGGTATGTTTTCATTCAGAGCCTATGGAGTAGTGTTGGACAGGTAAACCATGCCACAGCCACCCAACCTGTTCTGAGCAAACATATGCGTCAATAAACAATCCAGACCCAACCTGCAAACTGCCAATCTTATGCTTTGGAAGAACACAATAGTCACGACTAAAGCACCTTTCAACACAAGGCAATTCAAAGTGCTTTAGAAAAATGAAATGACATTAAGAGCATTAAGAAACATATTATAAAATGTCATTTAAAAACACTCATTTAAAAGCAAAGATAATAAAACGTGAATAAAAGTTACAGTGCAGTGTGAGATACACACGTCTGAAATGTTTAGGTCCGACTCTCAATCATTGCTAACTTTTTAGCAGAAATAGTTTTCTATGACCTCACTTTCTTTCTACTTTCTTTTTTAACTTATCCTTTAGTTATTTCAAGTGTTTCATGCTAAACGAACACCCCTTTGGAAAATTCTAATCTGACCCCATGGGACCTTTTTAGTTTTCGCCGAAACTATTCCTCTTTAAAAAAAAAAATGCACAAGAGTTAAGTTTACTTTGTCTTTCTAGGACTTTTTGGTATCCCCCGCGAACCAGGGTCTTGAAACCAAAACGGCACACGTAGGGACTTTAACCACTTAGAAAAGTAAAACTAGCTGTTCTCTGACAAATTATGATTTGTTCATACAATAGTGTCAGGGAATCATTTGCCCTGCATGTCCTCCTTCGCCCTCGGACGCAGATGAGGGGCTGCCCTGGCATTTAGTTGTTGTTACCAGTTTATGACCGGGCAACTCTCGGTCAGAGATAGTTATTGTTGTGGGACACCTGGAACACATCCTTCTCGGGTGTAGATGACCCCGAGCCATAAGCGACAACTAAAGTTGATTCAGTTTCTTCAGCTGTTTAAGAAAACTAGCTAAAAACCCCTTACGAGAGAGGAGAACCCTCAGAATTGATTGTGGCATCTCAACCGTGTGGTCAAACCGTGGCCCGTGACATGTCTTGTGAATTCTCCGGCAGAAGCTCCAAATAAACCGTCAGTGTTTGCCATCAGAGCTCCAGCTCTCCTCGTGTCTCTCTGAGTCCTGTTTCCAATCGCTTCAGAAGTTTCCCTCACAAATAGCATATTGACAAATCAGCCAGAAAGTGTCAGTCCTATAAATTAAGTGTCTGAGAGAATAGTAAGCATTGCTGTCAATTCCTAAATGTTGCATAAAATGGTTTGAATCAAGGTTTTAAAGAACAAGCATGCTTTATACTTTTCTTATACACACTTTGTTATACACACTGAACTGATAACCTGTTGAAATGCTTCTCTAACTTCTGCTTCGCTCTGTCTTCAGTTTCCTGCTCAGACCACAGCAGCCACTGACGAGCAGAAGGTGTTTGGTTTGTGGGAGACTGGAGAGGAGTTTGACACGGTAAACTATTTCACAGGTTTATAGCAGGTCCGTTTTGCATCTTGTCTCTGCATGCACATTCTGCAGCACAAACCACAAGTTCTCTGAAATGTCACATGAAACTTCAGAGACCACATGCACTGTCTGTGTGAGCCATGACCTGCGAGAGTCATTACTGCAACGCCACACAGAAGAGAGAAGTAGAACTGTTGACACTTTGTGGTGTTTAGCTGCAAATGGCTGCACTACACTTCCTTTGTTAAGTTCCCCGACATGAGGTGACTCTTGTTGCCTTACAGTGAAAGTACCACACGCTCTCCTGTCCAGAGTTAAATCTGAAGATCAATACCTCTTATTTGTCCAAGGAAGCAAACTCCACACACCGGCAGCTCTAAAGCTCACTAATTAAATCCTTAAATCTTCTTTCTGTGTTGTGTAAAAACAACAAAGCTGTGGTTGTTACAGTGAAGAATTTCGCTTTTGTTTTTCTGGGCTGGACTCAACAGTTTACATGAGATTCAAAAACACTTCAAAATGAGTACAGATTACACAAGCATTATAGAAAAACGAATGAGCGATTTAGGGGTGGTGGTTGGTGTGTTTGTTATCACTGGACAGAGGCTAGCAGTTTGCCCTGTTGTACTCTTTGTGCTAAGCTAATCTTCTTCTTTGAGATGTATTGACCTCATTATCTGTCTCTTAGAAAGTGAATAAGTGTAATTCCTAAAATGTTGAAATCTTTCCCTTTTTTATTAAATCTTTCTTTCTTCCTGCAGCAACGCCGCCTGCTGTATGAACTGTTCAACAAGAACTACCGCATCAGGAGGACTATGATTCAAGCCAAACTCACACAGGAGTTAGGAGACGCCTGTAAGGCAGACGTCGACCGGATGCTAAATGTGAGTAATCACTGAATAGATTACTTTTTAACCACTATGCATCACTGGGGACCATTTTTGCTTTTCATTTGTAGCCTTGTTAATGCATATGGAATACATTTTAACAAGGGTGGACGTTTTCTTTTTTTCTAATTTTGGAAATTCAACTCAGCTCCTTTTAATAAGTCAATAGTAAACTGTGCAGCTAAAATACAATTACTCAGACCCTTAAGGACAAGAATATCCTAACTGACATTATATCACAGAGCTTACGTCTCCTCTTCTTCACTGATGGTACCTGTCTGTGGTTCCAGGAGTGCTGCATCAGCCATGCGGGGATGTGGTACCTCAAGGGAACGGTTCCGTCCTGACACTGAGAGCCTGCAGTCCCCTGTCAGCCAATCAAATCCTCTCCAGGTTGTCTAGTGGGAGGGCAGCCAGAGAGACGAGAGCCAAGATCCAATCACAATCACAGCTCGCCCTGCTCTGAGGGCGTGCGAGTGGAGGACAAAAAGACGGCGGCCGTCTGCTCAGAACATGAAGTTTATTTCATTTCAACTGAAGCATTTCTGACTGACACAAGCAATCTGATGCAGCGCGAAGGAAAGGAACTCACAAGAGCTGAGTGTCTGAGGGGGGTATATGGCTATATATAAGGAATATATAAGGTTTATCGGTAGATTTTTGGATTTGTTGAACCTCATGTTTGATTATTTTTCAATTAAACTTTTACAGATCATTTTACTATTGAAAGCGAAGGGGATCAGAGTGCTTTCATTTATCTCCTGATTTCTATATTTTGCTCGAGAAAACACAATATACTTTCTCATATCATCAAAAAAAATGTTCAAGCCCTCGAGGGAAAAAAACCTTTTTTACTTTTCAACTATTAACTTAGAACATTATCTCTAATAGGAGTCTGGTATTTAATTAAGGTATTCTAAGTAAAACATGGGAAGGCACTTAAAGAAACTGTGCCAAATTCAGGAGTCCTGAAACAATAAGTGAAAAGAAAATGATGCAGAAACAAGCAAAAAGTCACAAAGTCATTATGCATAATATGATACAGCAGAAATAACTTAATATCGTTGGCAATCATGGAGCTGGAAACTGCTGCATGAAATGTGGCTTTCCCACATGTCTGTATTATGCAGTGGAATGTGTACTGAACAATAAAATCTGAGAAAGTGGATTCAATGGCTGATGATGAGGTTTGTTTTTGGTTGAATGTGCAGAGTTTGGTTTTCCTTTTTATGAGAGACTGATTTGATGACGGCCAATAAGGATGCAACTTTGAACATTTCTTTCGGGAATGTTGATCAGAAATCTGTCGGGATTGAATCCATTTGTATGAACATAGTGCAAGGGATGTGACGACAGAGTGGCTCGTGGTCCGGTTCAAACACTGGACCGCCATTTTGGAGTGATGTGGGAGTTGCTATGGATACACTGTGCTGCTATCTTGAGCCTCATCTAAAGTGCCTCACAAGACGAACTCCCACCCATTCATTCAGAGAGGAACAGGAACAATGATGCTTTTAAACTTCCTAAGAGAGGAAATGTAGGACATCAGATAACGACCGCTGTATTCTTTTTTCATTAGTTTGTTACTTTGCTCAATAAATGCTGTTAATGCCAACGGGTGACGTTTTCTTTTGTCATTATTAGTTATTATTGATATGTTAAGGGTCAGTAACCTTTACATGTCAGACCTTTAATTGGTGAGCTTTTTTTGTTAAAATGAACTACTTTTTGTCAAACATAAAAGCTTAACCCTTAATGTTCTTAACCCTTAAATGGATAATCAATTGATTGCTATTTTCTACATTGCACCCATATTACACCCATACACACTCGCCCCCATTACAATAATGTTACACCCACATTATACCATTATTAAACCCGTATTGCACCGTAATTTAATGGTTATTCCACCCATTTTACACATGGACGCAGCCTGTCACATGACTATCGCCCAGGCTAATGAAACAATTTAAGGGTTAAAGCCTTACCTTGTTCAAATCTGTATTTCTGTTTAAATAGTTGGTTTCAAATACTGACATTAGACCACATTTCCTTATTTTTGAATGTTTGCTCTAATTGTTGTGCTGCCACCGCAACACCTGTTCCCACTGCTAATATTTCAGGTTCTATTTCCAGGCTGATAAAATACGTATTACATGATTCAAGTGGATTTCTTATCATGTTATCATATTTTAGAACAGAGTAACAGCAGTAATAAGGAGGACACAGATGTGGCGCTTGCTTCATGTTTTATGGCTCTGACACAAACCACGAGGTCCACTCATGAAACAGGTAAAAATACATCGTACATACATACTGCAGATTATTCAGCACGCTTGTTTAGAACTACATATGAAAGACATGTAAAGTGACAGAAGAACAATAATGATGTGCAATTTCTAAAGTGCATCTCAATGTGATTTTATACAAAGTGTGAACTTAACAAGGAAAAAAGAACAGTGCTGCTGAGAAAACCCTCTAAATCAAAGCACGTTTCCGTGATAAACAACATTCTAGGAGGCCGTTACATTGTCCAGTACATCGAGTTAGTCTTTTGGTAAACCTCAGAACTTCCCTTTAATAATACATTCAATCACAGTCTCTTAACCTATTGTACAAGTATCAAGTATCATTTAAAGAAATAAATGTTACCTTACAAAAGATCCCTATATATTTGACCTTGAATCACCAACTTCTAATATAATAAACTCCTTCACCAAATCAACAACTTGCTGTGGTCTCTCAGGCAAAACTATCACCAAGAAAGGTACCTTTATTTTCTCTCTTTTTTGTTGTTGTAAAGAAAGATAAAATAAAAAAACTTCACATTTTTTCACATACAGCGACAACATTTGAATCCAATGGATCTGTTATCTTTATGATCATTTTCTACGAGGTTCCTGAAAAAGAGCCGTTTAATGTTGGACTAATCACTGGGAGAGTTATGGGAAATATTCAAGTTCAACCGAGTTAATAATTCAAAAGAATGTTCTTGTTATTATAATGTATCCAATGTCACATGTTAACGCCGGGTCTGAACAGGGCCAATGTTGGATGTAGTGATAATGAGCCTACACCATTTTATAGTGAGATTCTGCTCATCATCAAGTTGTCTGGCTCACACCGTCACTATTTTAAGACCATGTGTAAAATAATAAACAATAGAATTCACGGATTTCAAATACAAATATACGCAATAGCAATTAGAGATGAAACTACTGGTTAATTAGCTCATCAAAACGAGGTAATCGGCAACATTTTAGAGCATTGGTGATTCTTCTTTAAGCAACAAACGTTTACAGACACTGATTCCAGCCCCTGAAAGGTTAATACTTGCTGGTTTTCTACTTCTATCAAGCTAATTGAATGTATGTTTTGGATATCGGACTGTTCCTTAGACAAAAGTCGTTTGTTGACGTCATATTGTTCTTTGGGAACTTGTTATGGGCTATATACTAAACAATTAATTTAATAAAACTACAAATTAATCAGTTATATATGTATACATATACACTCCAATTTCTCTATAATTAGCTTAGAATAACATATTTAAGTCTTTTCCAGGAACCTTTGTGTGATTTTACATCTTTCTAGCTAACTTTAAGAAATGATGGGACCCTGTAGAATAAAGTGTTAATGAAAATAAGACCCAGAAACGATTTCCTCTGGAGCTTGTTTTGCAAAGTGAGGTAGAGTGAGTGCACAGTGGGGACGGCAGGCACTGGTGTTTGTGTGCTGATGAGCCACAGAGCTGGTGACGTTTGGCCTTCCTGTTCCTGCATCACTCATCTTCACCCGCTTTGCATGGCAACCGCCACTTCTGGGCCAAAAACATACACGTGTAGATTTCATTAGCTTCACTTGCTACTCTAAGAGTCTATATCTGGAAGACAATCATTAAATATTCTTTTTACGAGAAGCTAATTATGCAAATGAGGCAGCCCTTCACCCGCCGAGGCTCTCCCTCTGTTCTCAATCAGGTCCTCTTTGGTTTTTTGAATTCGAGAGAAGATTTCCCTAAAAAGTTCCTTGTACTCGGGCTGATTAAAGTCATCTTTAAAGTCTGTGAGAGAGGGACAAGCAGCAGAAAGACATGCAGTCTGGACGGACTGATTCGTCTGCCCATCCTCCTCCTCCATCTTCTCCTCTTCCTCCTCCTCCTCCTCCTCCTCTTCTTCCTCCTGCTGCCCCGGTTGGCAGCGTCTCAGCAGCTCGTCGTACTTCACCTGCAAGGCACTGTACTGCGCGTCCACCTCGTTGAGCAGCGAGATGCCGCGGTACTTCACCACCTCTGCTCGGCGCACGCAGGAGCACTCGTGGTCGTTCACCCTGTGGGGGGTCTGCGGGGTCCTCGCCAGCCGCTCGCTGTCCCAGGACTTCAGCGCCCAGGGGCTCTTGGCTGCAGCGGCCCCCTCCTCGCTCTCCTCCTCCGGGTTCAGGAACATGGAGTTGGGCAGCAGGCTGTGGATGTTGTCCGGCCGGCTGGATCTCGTAGAGGAATCTGATTTCCAGAGATGACGGAGCTCCTCCGCCTCACGCTCCAGCTCGGTTACTCTGGTCTGGAACAGAGAGAGGAAAGAGAGATGATGACGTGTTGTTTCAAAAGACTAAGATTGAGTCATTGTGACACCAATGTTAAAGTGCAGCAGCAATTAAGATATTGAATGATATGGCTGTGTTAGGCTATCGTAGGTAAAATAAAAAAAGAAGAGAAACACGAAGCGGAGAGGAGAACATCCAGAAACAAAAAACTGATTTTTGAGATTAAAGTCTCAAAGTTTGGTAAAAGATTAGGTTCGTCAAATTGAAGGTGTAAAGTAAAGTGAAGCGCTGTGGTTCCTTGATAAAAGTTTTCTTTCTTCGAAAAATATTCCACTCCACTGGCTCCTTAACCAACAAAAGAACTCTACGATAGTCCTGATACGTCATTGCAGAATAACCCTTTAATCTGATAGTATTAAATCCAGGTAGAGTTACATTGAAGTAGCCATCAAAAGTAAGATAAGGATTCCAGCCCAATTGTACTGACTTTTTTCAAATTATAACTAGTGCCACTAGTGCCGGGATCTAAAGAGTATTATACATTTTATTTCCTCAAGGATTGGGGACTTTGAAACCAAACATTAGGACCCCAGACTGACAAAATCACTCGTCGTTCTGCAGACGTGTTGTTTGCAGAGGTGGGACCAAGTCATTGTTTTGCAAGTCCGAGTCAAGTCTCAAGTCTTTGCGCTCAAGTCCGAGTAAAGTCTCAAGTCTTTGCGTTCAAGTCCGAGTCAAGTCTCAAGTCAGGATGGGCAAGTTCAAGTCAAGTCCAAGTCCTAAACTTTGACAAAACGAGTCTTAAACAAGTCATTATGTGTTTTTCACCAAATGTAATGACATTGATCAACAGAATAATGCTTAATAATCAAACTGCTCTTTATTAGTCACATTCATAATTTAATAATCCATTTTCTCTCTGCTGGTAAAGTAACGTGTTTTTTTAAGAGGGATCAGTAAGGTAAGGCTACCGTGACGGTTTGATTCAGAAGGAGTTTAATGTATAAGATCCCTGATGTTGAGGTAACCAGAATGTTTATTTCCACTGTGTACAACATGTTATAAGGGACCCACAATCTATCTGTATGCAAGGGATAGTGTGCAGTGAGGCGGTCTCTATGGGGAAAAGAACACCTGGATCTAGATCCCTCTGCAGGTGGCACTTTAAGTATATTTTGATGATAATACTTTTGTACTTTTACTTGTAACATTTTGAATGCAGGACTTTTTATTGTAACCGAGTATTCCTACACTCTGGTACTTTTACTCAAGTACAAGATCTGAACTTCTCCCACCTCTGACAATTATCCTGAGTGGTTACCAAAAAAAACCCCTGAAGGTTATTTTCATTTTACAAATCCTGCACTCAGCTTTGCTTTCTCCAATATCATTGAAAAGTAGCCAGATGCTGCTTCTTTTTTCGGTTTTCGCTCATTTCTTGACTTTTTCCGACGCGCTTGCATTTAAATCCGGCTCCCCGTCTCTCCGTCGCTCTGTGTAGCTGGCCTGTACCATTACACCTGCTGTCTTTGGAGTGTCTGCCCCCCAGCCTTCTTTCACATAATGGTATGATCCTAGTGTGTCCTCGCATATGATTGGCCACATGGTGGCCCAGCTAAATAAAGACCCGCCCCTGCCTGCAAGGATTCTCAGCAAGAGTAGGAGCGGCTGAAGATTCTGCTTTCCCCGACGGGAGTCTTCTCTTCTAGCGGCAGCTCGCGATCGGCGTGTTGGAGACCTCTGAATTAAATTATCAAGTCACCTCAAGTCAGAAGGCTCAAGTCCAAGTCAAGTCCCGAGTCATTGGTGTTCAAGTCCAAGTCGAGTCGCAAGTGTTTTGTGATTTTGTCAAGTCGAGTCCAAAGTCATCAAATTGGTGACTCGAGTCCAAGTCATGTGACTCGAGTCCACACCTCTGGTTGTTTGTGTATGTGTTAAGTGTGAAGAGATGAACATATGTTCCTCACACACACCTTGCAGCCCTCCATCCCTGCCAGCTGATGCTCCAGCGCTGCGTTCTCCCTGGCCAGCAGCTCGGCCTCGCGCTCCGACTGCTCCCTGCGTGCGCGCTCGCCGGCGAACTGAGTCTGCAGGCTGCGCAGGGACTGCCGCAGAGACGCCTGCTCCTCCTCGTGCCACGACATGTCGGGGGGCTCAAGACCGTCTGAGGGGTCGTCGTAGTCGTACCTGCACAGAGACACAGACAGTCACAACAACAGGCATTTTCACCATGTTTTTGTACCCCTTAAAAGGTCCCCTATTGTACTGTTTTTCATCAATATATTATAGGTCTCAGATATATACAAAACATGTCTCTGAAGTGTTTGGCTCCAAATACCAAACAGATCATTGCAGCATCCCATAATCCTCTCTGTTTCAGCCCTGTTTCAAAAGTGCTGATTCTCTGTCTGTTACTTTAGATGAAAATAAGGAGCCCCTCCCCACGCCCCTCTGAGAGAGATTTGGTTACAAAGAACACAACAATGGAGATTCAGGTGATAAGGAGGGGGGGTGTTACCTTGGTTGGTGATTGGCTAATGGTTACACAAGCCAAAAAAATAAATCATAAAGTGGCCAAAATCTGATCAGCTCATTTTCAGACAGGTTTTTATATAAATGGATCAGGACAAAAAGTGAGCGATTTTTTCCCCCTGAAACTTTCAGAGTCTCTTTCCACAGAGGGGACACATGTTGATGTATAAGAGACATGAAGAAGTGGATTTTGCATAATAGGTTACCGTTAATGTCTGATGGTTTCAACACTCAGTGACATTCACATCTACAGTATTCCAAAAGCTTTCCAGGAACTAGATTTCTTCATACAGCCACACAAATAGTTTCAACATAACTAAGAGTCCACAGATATACTTAATTTGCAGATAAAGGTGATATATGATACAAATCTCCATAGCTGGCAAGTAGTTTGACCCTGAGTGGAAACTGTTTTGTCAGCTGTTTTTATATTTCCTTATATCTTTCCTTTCCTATTATAGGCTGATAATTTATTTTGTCTTTCGCAACTGACCTAAGTGTTTCATCTATCGCTTGCGTGAGTCATGAGGCAAAACAAAGTGAAAGGTGACAGGAAGTGCCCCGTGGAGAATCAATAACGACATGTGACAAAGGTCAGGTTCAAACTATCGGCACTGTAGAGGAGTTATGGGATGTTATGGGACGTTAAAAACTGTCAGAAAAGTCTTTTTTTTGGTAAATGTCTGGCAAACAGTGCTGGGTATTTGAATAAATTAAAAGAAACATTTATTTTTGTTTTTTTGAGTATACATCGAGTACCTTTAACTTTAAATGTGTTTTCTTGCCATTTAAATTATTTAGATAGATTATAGAAACAAACCAAAAACTATTTTGAAGTTGATTCACATTTATAAAGTCTTGTCAATTGATTATTTTCAGCTCCAATTCAATGGGATATCTGTGTTTTTAATTGTCTTTTAATTACAACTATGTGTAAGTATTTTTGGCTAGAATAAACCATACCAATGCACTGAAAACCGGAAAAAATACAACAAAAACAGGAGACGTAAGGCCATCAAATCAACACCTAGAAAAGAGGGAATAAAAGCAGGTCATCAAGAACTAATCAGCAGAGCCAAGTAGATTAGAAATCAGCTGAAGTATCACAGATCTTGAGACGCTGTGTTCAGCGGGAAGACTTTGACCTCCTTCCTTCCAACCTCATCCAGTTCAGACCTGTCCTGTTTATCAGAGGGATTTACCTCCGACTGACCTGGATGTTTTGAAGGGGCAGACTAAATGCACCTGTCACACAACGCAGCACAAAACATTCCGACCTGCTGCGAGGCAGACATGGCCGGCTGCCAGCGAGGAAGATTAGCACAAAGAGGAAGAGCTAAAGCCAGGAGGATTTTCTGCTTCCATCTTGAGGCTTACAAAGAGCCTCTGGATCAGTGACAATGCATTTAGGATAGATTTGTTCTCAACCAGGTCGAGAAATAATTACTGTAGAAGTTCTTATAGTGGTTATTTATCATTTTTTGATTAACAAATTTTTTTTGAAGGCTGACTATTTCAATACACCAACAAGAGACACTTTAGCCAAATCATTTCCTAACACTATTTCAGTGTCCATTAATACGCTTTTATTTCGTAAAGAATTTTCAGGATGCACATATGAAAGGGGTTTCAATCTTTTTAAAATAATAATTTCCCAAATAATATTCCTTTGAAATGGCCAAATATATTAAGCTTAAACTTAGTATAAAACAGAGAAGTAGCAAATCCTCACATGGATGTTGCTAAAACCAGCGGATGTTTGTCATTTTTGCTTGATGAATGTCTTAAACGGTAAATCTTATTTATAAATGTTTGTCTCCAACTGTTATATGTTGTACGTCTAAAACGTTACTTATTGTGCTGCAATTGTAAATGTGATAACTAATTCCAATGAGGCTTTTCCTTGTCAAATAAGTAAACCAATATTTTGTTCTCCATTTATTTTCCTTTTCTGATTTATTATCTCAGAACTAAATTTGTATTTTAGCCCAAAGTGGGGTCAAACAGGTGAACGATTGATGAATAAAGGAATTAAAGTGTACTCATTCCAATTATAGGGCTTTCGAAAGAGCCCTGTATCGTTATTTTCTGTCACTACCTCCCCGAGTGTGTCCACTAACTGAGCACCAATGATGTAAACACAGTATCTGTCTCCTCACCTGAGAGTGTTTTGCAGCTCCTTCAGGCAGGACACACTCTGCGTGCTGCGGGGTGAACACTTGTCTCTGTGCGGACGCTTCAGAGGTTGAGCAGGACTCAGCTTCAGCGTCTCCACCTGCGTCTGCAGCTCCTCCACCTGCGTCTGCAGCTGCTCCACCGTCTCCACCAGCCTGCAGAGGAAACACCGCTATGTTAGGCAAGGCAAGTTTATTTATATAGCACCTTTCAACACAAGGCAATTCAAAGTGCTTTACAAAAATGAAAGACATTAAGAAAATTATAAAATGGCATTTAAAAACACTCATTTAAAAGCAAAGATACATGAATAAAAGTTACAGTGCAGTGTGAGATACACACATTACATTTAGCTGACGCTTTTATCCAAAGCGACTTACAATAAGTGCGTTCGACCAACAAAATACAAACTTGAAGAAAACAGAATCATATAAGTACATCAGGCTTCATAGAGCAAAAACATTTCAAGTGCTACTCAACTGGCTTTAGATAAGCCAGCCCTTTATTAGTATATAAGTGCTTTGTTAATAGTTCTATCGCTCGAAGTGGAGTCGAAAGAGATGAGTTTTCAGTCTGCGCCGGAAGGTGTGTAAGCTATCTGCTGTCCTGATGTCAATGGGGAGCTCATTCCACCATTTTGGAGCCAGGATAGCAAACCCACATGTTTTTGCTGATGGGAACTTGGGTCTCCTTCGCAGCGATGGTGCAGCGAGCCGTTTGGTTGATGCAGAGCGGAGTGCACGTGCTTTGGTGTACGGTTTAACCATGTCCTGGATGTAGGAAGGGCCAGATCCATTCGCAGCATGGTACGCAAGTACCATTGTCTTGAAGTGGATTCTAGCAGTTATCGGAAGCCAGTGAAGGGAGCGGAGGAGCGGCGTCGTGTGGGAGAATTTAGGAAGGTTGAAGACCAGGCGAGCAGCTGCATTCTGGATGAGCTGCAGAGGTCGGACACACATCTGAAATGTTTAGGTCCGACTCTCGATCATTGCTAACTCTTTAGCAGAAATAGTTTTCTATGACCTCACTTTCTTTCTACTTTCTTTTTTAATGTATCCTTTAGTTATTTCAAGTGTTTCATGCTAAACGGAAAATTATAATCTGACCCCATGGTACCTTTTCGCCGAAACTATTCCTCTTTTTTAAATGCACATGAGATAAGTGTACCTTGTGTTTCTAGGACTTTTTTGGTGTCCTCCGCGAACCAGGGTCTTGAAACCAAAACTGATTCCTGTACCTTTTTAGTTCTCGCTGAAACTATTCCTCTTAACATTAGTTAAGTTTAATTTGTCTTTCTAGGACATGTAAGGTATCTGATACATAGGCTTACACCTTTTGAAGAGTAAACATCGCACTCTTCAAGCACTTTCAAGGTACCTCAACTAAAATAAATAAATTTACAAACTTTCAAGACTTTGTACAACCCTGTTTTTTTTAATAATAACTTGGGAAATCTGTTGGATATTAAGATAAAATAGACTTTTATTAATCCCTCGTGGGGAAATTGTTTCTCTGCATTTGACCCATCCTAGTGTTAGGAGCAGTGTGCTGCCATTTTGAACGGCGCCCGGGGAGCAGTGTGGGGAACGGTGCGTTGCTCAGGGACACCTCGGTAGCACTTGGTCTTGCCGGGACTTGAACTGGTGACCTTCCAGTTGCCAAGACAAGTCCCTATCGACTTCGCCACCACCGCCCCTATTGGTGTTGTTTCTGAAACAGATTTTCCACATCTCAGTCTCACCCCTGGATCTTCTGCTGGGACGCCCTGTTGTCCTGAACCAGTTTTCGATTGCTGAGCTCCAGCTCTCGGGCCGCCACGTCCAGCTGCTCGTACACTTTGGCGTGTTGATCATTGACCTGACGGAGGAGGTCCACCTGCTTGGTCAGGTACTGGAGGAGAGAGTGTGTTAACTTCATTGACACTATGTATCACACACAAAAAAAAATGTTGGGACTTTACATACAAAAATATACAAATAAAAAGGACAAGCCAAGAAAGAAACAGGGATAGTTTTGCAGGGAATTAGATTTGTTTCACTTATGTAACATGCAGATTTTTTCCCAACTAATTTTGGCCGATTGCTAATGCCCAATTTGACTGAAAATGTATATCTTTATCATTTTGAATTACCAGCCGAGTCAATAGTTTCTGATTGTTAAATTGGTGATATATTTAATGTGAACAAACCTCTAATATTATTAAGAACAATTTTTAAATGGTTTTATAATAATCATAATAATAATAATAATAATACTTGGATGTTAAGCTGATTATTTAGTTTTTTGAACTAGCATAACAGACAAGAAATAAAAGTGCTGACTAAAGGACATGTGATTAGAGAATCACAGTAACGCAACTAATTAGTATGTCTCCTAATCAGTTGCTCTATAAAGTCACATTTTCCTTAAGAACAAGTTGTCTTATCGGCTGTGGCAGCAAGGACACTTTGAACCTTCCTTCATCTAATCTGTGTACTGAAAGTAAACACACAGAAAAACCAGCCTCTACTTCACAGCTCAGAGTCAGACTGCACACGCATAGACAGTCAATGAATATCACACATGTACAGTATGGTAAAGTTAAACAGATATATTTTTAAAGATTATTTGACGTGGCTCTATTTGACGTATTTTAGTTCAAGTAGTTAAATAATTGCATGTAGTGATCTAGAATCAAACATTTGACGTCACGAGTATCCACACAGGTTTTAAGAGATTAGCTGTGAGTGTGAGCAGAGACAGAGAAGGATTTAGTGTCACACAGACCTCACTCAAGGAAATTAAAACTCTGCCTTAAATCAGGAAAATCTGTAAAAAGCTAAATATCTAATTTCTGTAATTTCAGTTTAAAAGAAAAACCTAGGCTAAGGATTTACTGGAAATCCTGCACGCACCTTCCTTATCATTCTTTTTTTTCAGAGAGATGGACAGGATTCAAGCTTTGTTCTTCAACAACAAAACACATATGTACACATTTCTTTCTTCATTTAAATAAAGGTCTATTGTAACGCAAATAATACATTCTAATTAAATGGGTCATTGTGCGTTGCATAACAATAATCCATAACAAAAAGTCACATAAATTCTTGCATAATACACTAACTCGATTGTCGCCTATTAGTCCCTTTATAAAAGACCTGATAACTGATACATTTTGTTATTATACTCAATTTATACTTGGCTACAAAGATTTGTTTTACTAAATTATCTTTAATTGAGGACAAGTTCCATTATCTTTTTAGGAAGATTATATTTAAATATAAACAGCTCAATATTATTTGATTTGTCTTTTCTAAATTATCTTAGGATTTCTCCTTAAATTGAGTGCATGTGTATGGGTTTAGCCTGTGGCCTTTTGCCCCTTCCTGTTATATTTCCTAAATTCCATTATGTGTATTTTACGCAGTCTTATAAATAGTTTTGCAGGTCATTCACTCAAGCTGCATACACAAACCCAAGTAAACCTCTGTCCTTTAGGTTTAGCAGCCTGAAAAGAAATGGATGGAAACAAATATGTCCTCTTCCTCCCCATTCACAATTAAGCCCTTGTACAGCAGCATGTCATTTTTTTTTCTTTAAGGCCAATTTGAGGCCTTTGTGATGCAACATCGATTTGTGATTGTACAATTTCATATATTTTGACCAGGATATTCCCATTAGGATTGAATGCTATATTGCACACAAATCCTGAACACTTTTCCTAGACCAACCATCTTCTTTACAGTATATCAGGGGTTGGCTGAGTCCCACAGGTTAGACAGGTGACATGGGTCTCTTTACCTCAATCTCCTGCAGCTGCTCCTGGTTGGTGGAGTACATCTGCTGCAGCCCCTGCTCCAGCTCCCTGTTCCTCTCCAGGAGACTCTTCCCCAGCTCGGCTGCCAGCTGCAGGTCTGCAGGAGGGACAGAGAGGAACCATCAGGGACGCTTTTATACAACTACACCTATGTCAAATCAGTCCCCGATGGAGACATGAGGACTTCATGTACAGGCAGCTTTGTGAGGATGTGTTGTTGTTAGCAGGAGACTTTTTATACTCAGGTTTTTGTTTTGTTATTATTAAACAGCTAATCTTTACCTGACCCACACTATTACCCTAACCTCATTTTTAATTATTTAATTAAATAATCCCGTAGTAAAGATTACCCAATTATGATGTAAGGGAATATCACAAACAAATTCATCAGCTTCAGTGCAAAATAATGAAAAGGAGGGAATGGTCTAAGTCTAAGGCACTTCTTCAATTCAGGCAGACCTTTTTTTACTTTGCCGCATATGTGAATGTCCTGCTGACTCCTGCCTTTTCCTGCAGTCTGTCAAGGTGCTTAATTGCTATTAAAACAGATTTTATACTAATAAACCCTGACTGAAAATATTAGAGGTTATACGTTCAGAAAATCACATAGAATATCACACATTTAACATCCTGTGCACCTGCAGGGCTTAATAGTGAGTTTAATTAGGTACATCTGTATACATTACAGCTTTGATATCCATATTTGTGCAAAAAAATGTAGTAATATGTAAGGATTATTCTGTTTCAATAATGTTCACAGACAAAGACTGAAAGGAAATTGTACCATGTTCAAGGTCTTGCTTGTCGTACCACGGTTCCTCCTCCTTGATATCAAATTCTTGCTCCACAATCATGTCTGTCAACATCTTCACGGTCTAAATCACACAGTTTTAGGATGAATCCGCTTTTCAAACATTGCAGAGGCAGAGCTTCACAAACGGTTATAAACGGTGTAGTCCGAGTCCTTCCTGGCGCTGTCTGCACGCCTGCAACCGGCACCGGTGTGCGCTCATCTCCGGACGGACAGACAGACCTCTCTCGCTGCTGCTGCTGCGTTGTAAACCCGTTTCCGGTTTACACTTCAAAAATAAAAGCAGTCAATGCATCTTTTTGACAGGTAAGAGCCGACTGGTCATTGTGGACCACCAAGCCCCACCTGCTGGTAGCTATGGCTGGTAGCAGGTAAATGTATGTTGGTGGTGATTTAGAAATTCACAAGTGTTGTTTTCCCCACCATGTGCTCCTAGTTGACAAAGAAAAGTTTAATAAACACTTCAGTGCTCACCAGGATATTTTTAACACCAGGCCTCAGATTTAAGAGTGGCCTGCTATGACTTGACATACTGTATGTCAAGTCATAGCAGGCATATATTTTAAACACTCAATAATTAGCCAACCTTATTTTTGTCACATAGGCCTACTGTCATGAAGAGTATAGGCCTAACTGGTAACTATAAACACAATTAATAATATGCATCTTACTAAATTAGTGTTTAGAAAAATACAAGCAAATCAAAAGCAACATTTAATAGCTAAAACATTTTCGTCATAACAACATTTGAAAATACTCAAATAATACGAAGCCTCAGACTAAGCTTAAAATAATATCACAGAACTTCTTGGTTCCCCCCCCCCCCCCACTAAGTTGAATTCTGAGCTCTTATTTTGAAGATATAGGGTGTCATTTCCGGTGTAGACGTGTTTATCGGTTAATTGACCGTTACACCTGCTCCTGTGGTTTGGTTCCTCCCTTAGAAACCGCAGCCCACAGTCCCTGTGACCAAAACATTAAAGCTAAATAACATAACTATTATCTTCAAAATACACTTAAAGTATCAAAAGTATCAATACCAGATATTGTTATTACAGTTGAAAAAATGAACATACTCTTAATTGGATTATACCCTAGTCCACTTTCGAGAGAGGAATATTTTTTTATCAAAACACAGAAATATGGATATTTTGAGGAAGAAAATCAGCAGCTTATATTTTGTATTTACTTCACAAGTTCAGTTTAGATTAAGAACATTTTCTCACAGCATTGAGCACCTTTTAGAAGACTCTTTACTAAAAAAAACATTAAAAATAAATAATGATTTGTTAATAAATGTGTTAATAAAGTACTTCATACTACTATGAAGTACATTTGTACTAAAATATAACAACAACAGGTGTCATACTTGGAATTACAATGCTGCATTGATTTGAAATCATTGGGTCACAGAAGCACTTGAAACATAAATTAGACTTTTAAATAAAAGAAAATGCTGAATTTCACAACATTATTCATATAAAATAGAAAGAAAGCTCTAAAATCACATACAAATACGTATATTTTACTTGTCCAGTGTAGTACTTCAATCCATAATCATCCAAAACAAACCCAAGATTAAGCATGTACAGTTGCAAGAAAAAGTATGTGAACCCTTTGGAATTACCTGGATTTCTGCATAAGTTGGTCATAAAATGTGTTCTGATCTTCATCTAAGTCACAACAATAGACAAACACAGTCTGCTTAAACTAATACCACACAAACAATTATATGTTTTCATGTTTTTAATGAACACACCATGTAAACATTCACAGTGCAGGGTGGAAAAAGTATGTGAACCCCTAGGCTAAAGACTTCTTCAAGAGCTAATTGGAGTCAGGAGTCAGCCAACCTGGAGTCCAATCAATGAGACGAGATTGGAGGTGTTGGTTAAAGCTGCCCTGCCCTATAGAAAATACACACCAGTTTTGAATTTGCTATTCTTAAGAAGCATTGCCAGATGTGAACCATGCCTCGCACAAAAGAGCTCTCAGAAGACCTACGATTAAGAATTGTTGACTTGCATAAAGCTGGAAAGGGTTACAAAAGTATCTCTCAAAGCCTTGATGTGCATCAGTCCACGGTAAGACAAATTGTCTATGAATGGAGAAAGTTCAGCACTGTTGCTACTCTCCCTAGGAGTGGCCGTCCTGTAAAGATGACTGCAAGAGCACAGCGCAGAATGCTCAATGAGGTGAAGAAGAATCCTAGAGTGTCAGTGTCAGCTAGAGACTTAAAGAAATCTCTGGCACATGCTAACATCTCTGTTGACGAATCTACGATACGTAAAACACTGAACAAGAATGGAGTTCATGGGAGGACACCACGGAGGAAGCCACTGCTGTCCAGAAAAAACATTGCTGCACATTTGAAGTTTGCAAAAGAGCACCTGGATGTTCCACAGCACTACTGGCAAAATATTCTGTGGACAGATGAAACCAAAGTTGAGTTGTTTGGAAGGAACACACAACGCTATGTGTGGAGAATCCAAAGGGTTCACATACTTTTTCTTGCAACTGTATACTCAAAGACAGTGTTGATGTTTTGTTGCTGCTCATTTGGAGTTTCAGACATTTTGTTCTCTCAGGAGCAAAATAAAAACACTCAACCAAATGTTGTGTTTTGCCTAAGACCAAAGTACAATCTTCCTAAAAGCCTTTCCATTAAAAGTCCAATTGTAATGAATACAATTTGCAAGCTGCATTATGGTGATGTGTTTTTCCATCAGTAGGTGGCAGTGTAGTGTTATTGGGCTCAATTCCCTGTACAACTCAACATTCCCAACATAAAAGTCTTCATTTTATTCAAACAAAGAAGACACTTATTTACAGTAAATTATTAATTTGAACCCAAAAGAAAACAACATGACACTGACATGATTTTTAAAATTCGTTTTATTATATTAAATGAACATGATCAGACGGTCCACAGAGTTTTGATTCACAGATTTAGATTTCTGTTTTGTTATCAGACAGACGGATGAATGCATTGTTCATGGTGGATGTTTTCTCTGAGTAACATCCTGCCAGCTAATGATAAATGATAAGCCGCTCTGCACCCCGGAGGATGATGATGGGTACATCTTCACCCCACTGTTCTTTTCCCCCTAGTTCACAAAAAAACATCCTTATGATGGCTGCCTAGCAGAGATGTATTGTATGTGTATGTAGGGGTGTCTATTTGTAATGATATATCTCTTGTTGTATTAATGACCAAAAGCATGTGATCTTCTGAAAAAGCTTTCTTGATAATGATGGTGGGGGATTCAGGGATTTTCTCCTTATTATTTAATGTCAAGGCATGCTGAAGCATTTAGATACATTTCAAGGTTAACCATAACATAGTATTAACCGGTGGCGGCTGGTGGAAAATATTTTTGGTGGGGCTATGGAAATAGGGACCAAACCATACTAGGGCGGTCCGGGGGGATCCTCCCACGGAAGACATTTTTGAGAAATGACCCCTTAAATTATGACTTCTGGTGATAGAGGGGGGGGGGGGTAATCCATAATCTTCAGTGTGGTTAGCTATGAATCTTCCCAAACTGTGCAACAGTACAGTAGGCCCACACAAACTGCAGAACACTGGTGCTTTGGAAATACTCAAATGATTTAATTCCTGTAAAATAGGTCCAGCCCACACATATGCTCCATGGTGCTACAGGCATTGCCCTTACAAGTACAATAAGCATGTAAATGTTAATCTACAGCTCTGGCGATCCACTAGCACCGGAGTCTCCACCTGCAGACGCAGCCATCCTCGACAACTACTGTAGCGTCACCTTGGATACGAGTCCAAACAACTCACAGACACACAGGCCAGGGCGCTGACAGGGCGCCCTTTGAGCATCAGATCTGATGACGCTGATTGGCTGAAATTATGTTTCGGCGGCATAGTATACAGATAGCAACAGTCAGCTTGTTGGCTGCTGCTGCTCTGGCTGAGGGTTCCTTTCTACCGCCCGGACGAGAGAGGGTAATGATACACGCTGTGGCCAGGCAGGAAACATGTGACTTATCAGTAACTTTAGACATCGTAAAACAATTTTAAACGACATTGTATTGTAGATTATACATTTTACTGATACCAACTATATAATATTTACCTTGTTCATTAACATTTTTAATGACAATCAAACATGTGGGAAGAGGGGGGGCGGCGCCCTATGCGCCCCTATGGGCCGGCCGCCACTGGTATTAACTTTATAATTATAAGAAAAATCATAAGAAACAGTCACAGGCATAATGTTTTTGTTTGTCCATAGAAGTGTACATTTCAAAAGATGCATTTTGAAATACAGAAATCAAGCATAAAGGGATCCTGTCTGTCTTAGCCTCCATGAACTTTCTCAAAAATGTACCACAACAACAAATCCATTAGAACACATATTCAGACAACCAACCTAGTCAGGTTCTTGTTTGTAATTTTTATAGTGAACTCCTTAGGTGGATGGAACAATGAAATACTTAATTGAATTGGTCCTCAGCAACACCCAGATGAGAAACATATTGCTCTGTGTGCTGCCTAAGAGCCTCAGTAGCCAGCGGGAAAGTACCAGTCATTGTGTCCTTTAACCGAGGAGGACACAAAGACCTTCCTCCAGATCTATTTATAACACAAGGTACTGTGCACTGTTTTCTGATATAGCCTACATTTATTTAGATGACTTAACATAACTGCTAATCAATGGCAATGACTCAATGATGACTGAGCTGAAACATCCGATTTGTGTTTTTATTGCTTTTTAATCCAAGCTAGCAGCAATGCTCGATGGATGTCTGTTAATTTGTCCACCACTTTGGTCTAGACCAAAATATATCTTAATAATATGGGATGGGTTGCCATGGCATTTTTGTACAGCCATTCTTGGTTGCCAGAGGACGATACACATACTGATATATTCAGTATTCACATATCCTTTTAGTGCCACCATGAGGTTGAAATTGGTGATCTCAAATTTTGGCTCAAACATTTATCTCTTATTTAATCAATTATTCTTAAAGTCTTTGTCTTTCATAAATGAGAGTTAAACATATACCTCCAGACCTAATTACCTTCCCATCATCCTCAGCTGTACGTTGTGTTTCGAGCTAATAAGCGAATGTCGCTAACACGCTAAGCTAATACCTGCTAAACACCAGCATGTTAGCATTGTCATTGTAAATATTTTGTGATTAGCATTTAGGTCCAAACTGCTGCTGTGCCTGAACACAGCCTCACAGAGCTGATATTTATTTAATAATAGTTCAGTAGTTGATAATAAATCGGGATAGAATATTATATAAATATGTCAGTATTTATCAGAGGTTGTTATCTCTTCTCTTGTTCTGCTTATAGGGTCTCCTAGCTAGCCAACAGAACAACTGATTGTGTTTTGAGGCCACAGTTACATCTCAAAAACCGACTCACCTCAAGCCAGATTATTCAGCCAGGTTGAGGATTAGCTGCTGTAACATCACCGACTCTTAGCTCCATCCCTCTCCCCTTTTTGTGCTCAACCCTCAGTGTGTTTCCTCTCTTCCTCCGCCACCCTCCTGATGTCTCCATCTCTGAACTGCTGCTGTCAGTGAGATGAGAGAGAAAGCAGAGCAGGAAGCAAGAGCTCTCTGCAGGGACTCTGCTTCTCAGAGCGATACAAAAAAACTGTGATATTTTTTCTGTAGAATCAACTCTCTGTGTGTGTTTTCCGCCCAATCTACCGTTACATGTGGCCTTTTGCTTTTGTTGATGCTTCACTGCCTTTTCATTTTGGATTTGTGTGAAATGCCAAACGTCAGAATAGGACCCCATGCTCCCTTTAACCCCTCGTGTTATTTTATCTTCGTGAAGAAGGAAGTCAGATAAACCAGGAGAGGAAATTGAAATATTACAGAGGAGGGGGCAAGCAAACAGGATGATTGCCACTATGCTCACCAACCAATTCACACATTCCTCTTCTTCCCTGCAGCGATTTGGGTTAGCGGCCGTGTTCTCTCTGCCATAGCGAGGAAGCATTGACATTAATAGTAGCGACTGGTAATGAGTCGTAAAAAAAGAGAGACTTGGGGCTTTACTGATCCGTTTCCATACCAACTGTCTTAGCTGTGGGGACTGGATCCTCTCGATGTTTTGGGAGGGGGGGCTGGAGATGTGTGTAATGGGATTTGAAGGAAGTGCTTCTGGGTAGAGCATCAACACACACACACACACGCGCGCACACACACACACACACACACACACACACACACACACACACACACACACACACACACACACACACACACACACACACACACACACACACACACACACACCACACACACACACACACACACACACACACACACACACACACACACAAACACACTCACAATATATATCACAAAACCTCTGACTGTGTGTGTGCGCTTGTTTTAAGTTAATCTTCAAAGCTCTTCCAAAAAATTCATCTTGACAGGCAGAGAGCAGCGAGCCTTCTGCAATTTTATTTGACTGGTTCTCGTCCTTTTTTCCATGTGTTTTTCCATTTTTTCCCCCTCCATTGCCTTTTGTTCTGGACATGTACACAACAACCAGTCAAGGATTGGTAGACATGCTCGCATTGAGAGGTGTTGCCATGACAACCAGGCGTTTGCACACAAAAAATCAGCGCAATGCCAACTCTCATCCAGGATCACATGGGCTCGCGTGGGGAATAAGAGATGCTGGCAGGAGCAAACAGGAACACATGCTGTATATACTTCATGTGCATTCATGATATTACTTTATTATTTCCCCAGTTCGACCATGTTTACACGTTGAACGCAATAAACTGAAAATTAGGAATGATAGATATTGGAAGAGAGAGACACAGAGATAAGAAAGGAAAGATGATGATGGTGATGATGATGATAAGAGACATTGGATTTGGGTTAAAGATAGCAAATTGTTATCACTGAAAGTGACATCAAAGGCATCGTTGGCATGGGGAAGTATGCAAAAAAAAAGAAAGTTTAATTTCACAAGTAATCTCCAGCCCTTAGGCCCGTGGGTAAAACAAAACTCTGTGAAGTAGATGAATTTAGCTAATCTCTCTCGCACAGCTTCAGGGGATCACAGAGGCACAGGGATAGAAAATTACTCTGGTGCCTGGTTTGGCGCTTACATTTGATGAAACAGGGTCATCTAATTTCTCTCATATACCGAGCATAGATCGTTGTATGTCTGTCAAGAACAAAAAGTGGTATCCAAGATAAAAACTAGCAGGACATTCAGAGAGCGGGGACCTGTGATGTGATTCGGACTCACTCCAAAATGACATGGGTGCTTCCTTGGCCAGTACAACACCTTTTAACACCGTTGGATTAAAATGTTCCAGTAGTTCCTTATTATCCTGCTTTTAAACAGACAAACAAAACAGCGACTGATCCAAAAACACAACTTCTTTGTTGAAACACGTCTGCATTAACAGGTTGGAGAGAATGACAGACAACTGTCCCCTGCTCAGATGTTTTCTGTGAATGAGAAGAGACATGGCTGATGTTGCATCAAAAGGCACTGCTGATACAGCAGAGGGGAGGGATGATGGATGGGACTTAGTTTGGGAACCAGAAGGTCGCCGGTTCAAGTCCCAGATTGGACTACGGAGTGTAAAGTGGTACTTTGAGAGGTATCAGTTTGCCTCTTGGGTCTCCTGAGCAAGGGAGTATGTGGGTGACGATTACAAAATAATTTGATTTGAATGCTCCATTTCCATATCCTTGGTTTGTGTGTGTGTGTGTGTGTGTGTGTGTGCGCCTAACTCCAGTTTACAAAAAACAATCTAGTTAGGAGGTGAATTGATTAGCATAATATTTATCAATAATTTGAGCATTTTCTCATTTTTTTTAGATATTCCAAAGACATCTATGGTCGATCCACCACGTGATTGTAAACCCACACAATTTTATGACGTTTTACGTTTTATGTCCAAGAAAATAAATCGTTTTTTTGCTGAACACAGCACCATGCTGTGATTGCATTTTTGCGGATCTGATAAGTTTAAGGACACACACAAACAATCCGGAAAAAGCTGAGCTGACCACTTCTCTCCAGCAGTGCAGTCCAACTGCTGAGTGGAGACAAAACGACCTGGCTCTGTTTTATCTGCTCTGATCTGAAATGCTTCTCCTTGGATCAGCTTCAAATGCACCACTTTTAAGCAAAGCACTCATCAAAATATGGGTTTTTCTGGAGCAGTTTTCGTCAACATCAGCCAAAAATCTTTGCGGTGCCGATTATATTTCACAGCCAGTTCCTGCTTTGGATGTGTCCCCGTTATTTAAAGCAGATTATGTTTAGCAGTTATACAAACAGGAGCTGCACCAATAAGAAAAATGTACAAGCAACATTAGAAGTATTTTTCAGAAGTTGTTTTAATGATTGGACATGGACATCTTTGCCCTGATACACAGCAGTTTGGCCCTGCAGCTCACTTTAGTCTTCACAACATTAACAGAAACAACAACCACTTAAATGTCTTTAAAACCTACTGGGGAGATGTACATCATTCTTTCAAATTCCCACATTTAGTTGTTCTAACGATGGTGATGGATATTGCTGTCCAATACATTGCTCCAAAATCAAACAAAGGTATTCAGTTGCGTTCAGATTTGGAAACTGCAGAGATCAGTGACCTCTGTAAGCAGCGCTTTTTAAAACTTTGTGCAGCAGTTTGAGTCACAGTCTTGGTATTAGCTATAAAGTCCGACTCAAGTCCAAATTGGAAACTTTCTGTTGACACATAGTCATTATAAGCCAATCCCAAATGTAAAGGGCAACTGCATATAGGCAAAATATAACGCATGCCGTGCAGCATTACATGAATGGTGCTGCTCTACTGTCACATATCAAGCATAAGACACATTGATGTCTTCAAGATGTATACTTTTAAAGAGGCTCTTGTAGCTCATTCCTACCAAAATAGTGTGTCTTTGATGTCATTTCAATGATTAAAGTTGCAGTTAGTAAAGTAAATATACAGAAATAATTAATGTAATTCTGGATTAGCGATGTGTTTGCTTCATTGCTCAATTTTTGTTTATCCACTGCATAATCTTTACATCTAAATGTGATAATCTGCTGTGTGTCTGCCAAAAGTTATATCATCGTGCATAATCATTCCAATACACTCTGCTGATTTTTTAGCACATAGCCTTTTTTTTTGTTTAAATTATAATTTCCTGATCACTTTAATGCTGTGTAATCCTCAAACATGATACTGTTCAATTGCAGGTGCATTTGATTAGAATATGTCTTATTTACTCCGCTGTGTGACATGTGGACCATTAAAGGGATGTAGAAAACAAAGTCAAATTCAACAATTTATCAATGAACCTGACAGGGATACTGTGAGTGAGTGTGTGTGTGTGTGTGTGTGTGTGTGTGTGTGTGTGTGTGTGTGTGTGTGTGTGTGTGTGTGTGTGTGTGTGTGTGTGTGTGTGTGTGTGTGTGTGTGTGTGTGTGTGTGTGTGTGTGTGTGTGTAAAAGGGAGAGAGAAAGAGAGAGAGAAGGGGGAGGATGCTTGTGGCTTCAGGTTTTTGCAGAGCTCAACACAATTTCACCCAGGATTGGATCGGTGTGTGTGTGTTCCATCCCGTGAAGCGTCTATAGTGCCGCACCCTGTCCTCCGTGCGTAAAACTTCGCACGTACATCATCATCATCATCATCATCATCACACACCACGTTTCATTCCTCCAGCAGAGTCTTGGGAGCAGCGGTGGGTAGCGGCTCACCTCGCGGATAGGTCGCACTCAGAGATGGGAGAGGAGCGGCTGCTATGACACGGACACACCGGGCGGGAAGGATGGCTCTCACCAGCCGAGGAATGTTGTGCTTGATCGGATCCGCCTGCCTCTGGCTGCCGTTGTTGGCGGAGGTAAGTTCTAATATGTGATAGAGATGTGGTTGATTTTGTAATATGACCTTATTTTGTTTTAAATCCCTTTTTCTTGAGCCATGTCGTGTGACAGTCACGCTCTGGTCACCTGAGCTGCATTTAACCAAAACCTTAATTAGGTCGATTATTAGATTGCCAATAAAATAATGCTTCAAGGCAAAGTAACCAAAGCAACCACTGTTCATGTTTTCAGGGTGCATTTTATATCTAAGCAGGTGCAGGTCGAAGCGTTAAAGGAGCACTATTATCACCTCTTTTAGCCAATTAATGGCGCAATAAAAGCGCATTGTGCAATTAGGCGGGCTCCCTCGCACGCGTGCACGCACACAGTCATGCATGGTCTCAATCACACCCGCTCCCCCTCTTTCCCCTTCTCTCCCCCTGCCCCCCGGTGGGGTATCATGGGAGGGAGACATCGGCTCCTTTGCGCCGGTGGTGTGGTGGGGTTGAACCATGCACGACATGTCACTGCATATCAGTTAGTTGTTTGGTGCTTCAGAGTCAGACATGTTGGAACCGGAAACTGGTGAAGCAGGTGTGAGTCAGAGCAGCCGGAGTCTCAGCTGGAAGTCCGGCTCACACATTATTATAAGACATTTGTTATTCATGTCGCAAAACAGTCAGTTAATGCTAAATCAGTAAATTTATAATTCAATTCATTATTTTTTTCCTTCAACAGTAAGTGTGTGTTGTGCTAATGTGCAGCATATGCCTATAAAAGTCATTAATGGAGTACAGTGATGTGAAGGATTTAATTAGACCCACTAACACTGGGAGCAGCCGTGCATGTAGCACAAATAGCACACTGCAGATGAGTTTCAGCTTTTTCATTTTTCAACATTAGATCAATATTTTCATCAGTAAAATGCTGAATGCAAAGGGGGGGCTGCATAACATCACAACAAAACATCAAAGCTGCACACCAAGTTCTCTGTAATCTGTAAACTCTGAATCACCTCCAAAGTAACTGAATCTTTATCACAGATTAAATGTCTTTAGAAAAACGGAGTTGTAGTTGTTGCATCAAGTTACCAACATGGCCATATGGTAGGCTATACGATCAGAGTGTCCTGGGGTCCTCTACAGTGGTAACAAATGTAATAAGTTAGCATACATAGGCAGTAGTGGTTTTCCCTCCAGAAAGACACATAGAAATGTTTTTCTGTTCTAATGCCTCTATTTGCATGTTACAAATAACAATTAAGAAATCAACCAATTTATCATGTGCTTTGGTTACGTTTACTTTGTTAAGGTTTGTTCTGATAATAATAAACACACGGTAAGGTGAGGGACCTTTATCATATATAAAGTATGGCCGGGCAACATGGAGAACATCTAATATCACAGTATCTTTGACCAAATACTTCCATATAAATGTTTCAAGGATGTTGTACGGTTGACAATTGGTGCTTTTATTAAATATATACACCAAGAATTTTGATTAAAAATGACCAGTAATCTGATTATAATGATTAACAAAAAGCAACTACAGGTTTGTTCAGAAAATTACACCACTTTACTGTGAAGAAACCTCTAAAACCTGGATAAGACTACACTTGCAAAATATTGATTCTGATAGATGTTTACTAAACATGTATTTCATTTACTTTTAGGGTAATATTTACTTTTGCAACACACTGTCCACTGTGGTTATCTTTAACAATCACACCTGGTTACTCTGAGGTAAAGTTCATAGTGTTAGTTGAATATTTAAAAGGTCATGAGTGACTTGAAGCATGAGATCGGACGTGTTTCATGTACTGACATTTGACTAAGCGGGAACCTTTTCCATGTCTTGACCAGAGTGCGTTTGTGTTGCCTAAACCTAAAATGTTAAACACAGGATATGAACCTCAGGTGCCCTGCACTTTGTACTGTATAGCACTTCCTTAAACAGACAAAAAGCTACCAGGTAACATAACTGAGCAAATCAACTGAAAACATGACTTGTCCCAGCCTCTAAAATGAGAAGTATGGCAGATTGTCTTTCTCTTCTATGATTTAAAACAGAGTCTTTCTGTGTTTTTACTGTTATACAAATAAATTAACTTCAATGAAGATGTTTACTCTAATTTGTCACTAACTCGAAGGTTTTTACCAGTTTTGTGATGAGGTGAATACATTTAGTTGGAGCAGGAAAATTCAACTGTATCTGTGAATAAATTGTAAGCTTGGTGCACACATCATCAAATACAAAATAAATTGTACACAAACAGAAAAGCAGTCAGTTTTTATCATTTCGACTACAAGCTTTGACTAAAAATAATCCGTTTACCGGCGTCCTTCAGTAATGTCTACTCACACTGAGCCGTTGGTATTGAGCTTTCTATCTGTACAGTCCCTGCTCTAATATGAGTGTGTGTGTGTGTATGTGTGTGTGTGTGTGTGTGTGTGTGTGTTTGCATGGCCGGGCACTGGCCGCAGCTGTGAGAGCGTCATAACTGATTAGCGCTGTAATCGAGCCGTATGATTGATGTGATATCAACACCCATGTTACTACCACAGGTCACCTGTTCCTGCTGTAATATCATTAGACTGAGCGGGGACCTCTGGGAGTGTTTGCATGTGTGTTTCATGTGTGTGTGCTGTCAGAAAGAGACAACTACAGAGCAGAAATCATGTACTTGAAGGTGAATGTTTCTTATTTCAGCGCCCTCATATTGTGTGTGTGTGTGTGTGTGTGTGTGTCTTCTTCTGCACGGTGCCCCGCTGTGTGGTGTGACCTGATTTCTCAAAATGAAACAGACACCCTCCTGTCAGATAACGTCTGATTCTGTCTAGTACTATTAGAGTGTGTGTTTACACTGTTAGCTAAGCAATCACACCTGGACACTTGTTATGCTTTCTCCTTCGACTGGTAATCAGGCTGTTTTTAATATTATTCAGGCTCAGCTCTCTGAGCTTAAGCTTCTTTTAAATGTGGATAAAACTAAGGTAATGCTATTTTCAAAAGCCAAAAACACACCGGAGACAACTTTGGATATGGTTACTACGCAAGGAAAAGTACTTGAAGTGGTTACCTGTTACAAATACCTTGGTATCTGGCTTGATGATTGTCTCTCTTTTAAACCTCAGCTCAATAACCTGCTTAGAAAGCTGAGGGTGAAGCTAGGTTTCTTTTTCAGAAACAAGTCCTGTTTCTCACTTGAGGCCAGGAAAAGGCTCTGTGACCTTTTTACCTGTGCTGGACTATGGGGATCTGATCTATATGAATGCACCTGCCCATTGACCTGAACAAGTTAGATGCCGCCTATCACAGTGCGCTGAGATTTGTTACAAACTGTAAAGCACTTACTCATCACTGTACCCTGTATGCCAAGGCAGGTCTGCCTTCACTTACTGTTCGGAGACTCAGTCATTGGTACATGTTCATTTATAAAGCCATGCTGGGTAAACTACCACCACTGATATCACAGAGAGTCGCAAGTAGCTATTGCCTAAGGATGTGTTTTTATTACATGCGCCAAGTGCTAGGACTGTTTTAGGCACTACAACTTTTATGTGCGCTGTTCCTCTAGCTTGGAACACTCTGCAAAACATTTTGAAAATGAGCATTTTGGTTCCCCTGCATCATTTGAAAGCACAGCTGGATGAATGGATATTTGATACTCCTGGTAGCTGTCTTTGTGAATACGTTTTTAAATTGTACCCCTGTCATTATCTTGTATGTGTCCTTTATGTTTTCTGTTACATGTGTAACCAATGTGCGGAAGGTCTCCCTTGTAAAAGAGATCGTTGATCTCAATGGGATTTTTTACCTGGATAAATAAAGGCTAACAAACAAACAAACAATCCCTGCCATTTAGGAATAAAGTCATTCACAAATGCATGCAAATTGTGAAAACACTCCTCAATCAATTAATCAATTAAGTGTATTTATATAGCCCAATATGCAATATGCAATATCATACATTTTACATTTGTCTCAGTGGACTTTACAGTTTGTACTCCTCAGTTAATAGCCCTTTCTTTATTCTTTTCATTTAGAGTTTCTAACTTTGACCACAGTAAATAGAATACGTACAAAGAATACGCGTTGAACCTTTTTATAGACTTTTGCTCACACCACGTAAATATCTGTGTTGAGGGGTTGTCTTAGTGAATTTTCACTATCAGGAATACATTTTTCCCAGGTATTCAAACACCACATGAAAGCAGCACTTAATGCCCAATATTGCAATGTTATTGAAAGTTAAACATAATGTGTGTGTTCCATGCAAATCAGGCTAGTAGATTTTCCATAATCCTGCTTAAAAACAAAAAAACAGTAAAACCATTTAAATCCATCGCCTGCTTGCAGAAAACCATCACATTTCAGCATGTTTCTGTTCAATTTGGATGCAGTTACACAATGCTGTCACCAGAACAATGACAGCTCTGGTCATTTGTTTAAGACGCTTAAAATGATGTATGAAGACAAAGGTCTCGTGTGGATATAAAAATAATGTATTTATTATTGTTGCAAAGGTAGAAGTGAGAAGTAGTGGGATGTTGTTCTTTACAGCTGTAAACCCGGTGTGTTTGGATGGTAAAAAAAGTTACCTAGATTTCTATTTTGGTTAATATAGAAATTGTACTACTACTACATATATACAAGTACTTGTAAGTTGACTTTGTTGATTGTTAAGAAATGCTAACATTTACACTATTTGCCTTCTTGCCGACGGTGAGATGAGAAGATCTGTCCTGTCTCTCATGTCTGCACGCTCAAGCACGTCCAAAGCCTACTTATTTAAACGTTACATTTGATTTGTTTAATCAGTACAGCAACGACTTCAAATGTCAAAAGGAATGGGGATTTGTTTTGCAAGATGTCAAACTATTCCTGTAGTGCTCTTGTGGTTTATACGAGAGAAATACGTCTCATCTGTAGTGACAAATACAAGTTTCATGATCCACAAATGAAAAATCTAAATTGACAAATGTGGGGGACATATTGTGATGTGAATTTGAGGATTTATGATCACCATGATTCATTCACAAATTCTCATATAAACATCTGAAAAGATTGTTTTTATTTGTGCAAATGTTTGTTCCTCATATTGAGACTTATTTCTCTCTGATGACTACATGTTCATGGATTCAATGCCTACATTACCCACAAGTCTCTGAGATATTCTACGTATAATCACACAGAAAGCAGCGTTTTAGAAGAACATTTACCTTTATTTAATTTTTTTATTTTCTAAATTCAGTTTCCACTCTGTTTTCATACACTCACAGTACAAGTATATAGGTACACATGAACATGCATTGTTTGTTATACAAGACAAAGTACAAGTACACACAAGTGATCACATGCATTTTTGGAGAGGTCCAGGGTGGAGAGGCAGCCAGTTGGTGCTGGTGCCAGGGAGCAGTTGGGGGTTCAGTGCCTTGCTCAAGGGCACCTTAAAGCTACCAGTCCACTTTTCTTGTGGTCCATCGGGACGTAAACCGCCGACTCTTCGGTCCCAAGGCCAAGTCCCTATACTGAGCCACTGCCGCCCTTTCAGTCTGTGATTGTGTGAATTACTGTATGTTTAACAAACTCATATTCTGGCCCTCTCTCTAACTGCTGGCTCTCTTCTCTTGTGTGCAGGTGGTGGCGGAGGACAGTTACTTAAACGAGGTGCAGAACTCAGGTGAGTGGGAGGAGGTGATGCTCGGAACACGGCACTCTCATCCCGTCTATAAATCAAACGTCCCTTCATCCAGCCTCTCATCCTACACCATCTCCTCCTTTTGTCTGTTTTTCTTCCATTTGAACCCACATTGTGACTCAGACACTCCTCTGAACCCCCTCTGTCGACGCCTCCTCTCCTCTTTATTTAATCCACCCTCCTCAGCCCTGCTTCTCCTCTTGTCCTCATCTCTCCTCTTCCTTCCGGCCTGCACCCCTCTGCGTTTAATTTCCCTCTTTTCTCTTCCCGAAGAGGTGTAGGGAAGAGGCCATGTTTGGGGGATGGGGCGAAAAACTCCTCCCTCTCATATTCATAGCAGAAATATCTGTGCTTTTACATTCAATTACAACCATACCTCTCACTTCCTGCAACAACAAATAACAGCCAAACCAGCTTGATCATGTGGAAGTACGGAAAGGCTTTCAAAAATATTAGCACCTCATTACAAATACAAGAATTCAGCAAATGTCGCACAAGATGCTCTTCTTTGTTGCCCAAAATTGTATTAAAACAGTGAAAACAGAGAGGCAATTTTCCCAGATTGCATATTTATTATAAATTGTGTATTTTGTGTGGAATGGGCTGTTTCCACACATCACCCACCCCCCATACAGCAAGCCTCCGAGTGTGAACCGTGTCAAATACTCATTGTGGCTGGGAAATGGATTATGGGAGCAGTAAGAATGAGTGTTCCCATGGCGATGGGCAGAGTACCGTTGTCGTGGCAATGAGGAAGGGTGTTAGCGACGAGTGTTGTGTGTGTCCAAGCGCTGCGGGTGTTGTGATGAATAAACGAACATTAATGATGCATACATGACGAGGGAGGAAGTGAAATTTAAAAGTAGTGAAGCAGGGAATTTAAATATGCAGAGGGATGATACAATACAAAAATATAATAATATGATGTCCTTTTTTCCCTAAAGATGGAAATGACAGAGTGGACAAGTTGCCTGGTTTAGTTACGTACAACTTTTTTTTTTTAACTTTATTACATTTCCATCAAGCTGGATTCAAATGTTTTATGCCATTACAGATCATATACAGCTTTGAATATATTTTTAACTCCAGTGACAAGACATATTCATCTGTTATCATGAAAACAAAATCAACAGTTAAGGAGCACCAGTGTTACTAATAGCTTTATTGGTGAAGTGTAATAGTAAGATACAACAGTGAGAACAAATTCATTGTGTTAAAAAATGTGAGGATTTGATTTGAGCGCCACAAAATACATGTACTAAATGTACAGCTGTGTCGAGTTAGTCATCTGATTTTGATGCTTTCGTAAGATAGCTCTAGAAATATAGATTTGTTTCAAAAATCTTACCGGTAGATAAATCATATTTTTACTTTCATATTTTATGCAACCACACCAAACATAAAGAAACATAATCTCACTTGATCAATGTGCACTCATTGCAGTTGTAATTTCTCAATTACATTTTACAATCACTTGGTTCTCTGGATACTCCATTATTTACTCCTTATGACGGACGGATTCTCAACTGTTATTGATACAATGAACTGAGGGTGAGCTGTATCATGGCAATTTTGGGTAATATACCCACCTCATATATCACGGCGTATCATCGTTTGAGACGCCGGTGGCTTCATAGGACCTTTGTAATTCCTTGTTCCTCGTAGACACAATCCCTTCCATTCGATTCACTTGGGAGCTCAGACTTTTCAGTACGCTGAGGCTGAGCTCCATTTGTATTCCACATGACTAGGCAGGACTGGCAAAACTGATTTTGGGCAAGGCCTTTGTGAGTGGTAGGCTCAGTTGATCTTCATTCTGTTTCAGCTTCATCAGCTCGATATATGTCTTCAGCAGCTCAGTGATCTCCTGCTGTTTAATGCGAGGGTGCACACCTGCTTGTTTTTCTGCTGCTTTCTGCTTTTCCTGAATCCTACAGACTATTGTCGGTTTTCGCCGCCATGTCTTCGGTGTCTCGCTTGCTTTTCCGTGCTGACTCCTTTATGACTTTGACCTCATGGAGCTTTTCCTGGATCATGAGTTGCGCTCTGTCCTCAGTGTCCTCCAGCTGAGCCTTCATCTCTTCGTAGGCTTTCTGCACAGAAACTACGTCATGGTTTTCGTGTTGCGAACCGGCGCAGACGTCACATATCAACACGCTGTCGTTTTTACAGAAATTCCGGAGTTGATTGTGCTCCTCACAGATGCGGGCCTCCAGGTTCGACAAGGGTTCGAGAAGGCTGTGTCTCTTCAGGCCGGCAGCTTTCTGATGAGGCTCTAGATGGATGTCGCAATAAGAAGCCACACACTCCAGGCAGGTTTTCACAGCCTCTCGTTTGGTGTCGGTACAAATATCACACAGCACCGCTCCATCTGAGAGAGCCTGCTGTTGGTCCGGGCTCTGGATAGGACAAAGTAACTGATCCTCAGACTGCTGCTGGACGCCATTTCTGAAAACAAACAGAAAGACAGCTAAGTTCATTTCTTGAACAGCAGTTGCAAAAAATGATTTAAAATCTTATCTATTTATTAGCTGCCTTAGACATTTTGATCATATCACATGGTGAATGCAGTTGACATGGAATTTAGGATGATTTAATTTGCATTTACAAGTCAGGTTATCCACACAAAATGAATCTGCAACTATCTCCAATTAATTCATCTTCACCAAAATTGGAAGAACTCAATGGCTCTCCTTTCTCTTTTATTTATGTATGATTAACTAAACATATTTAGGTTTAACAATGCAATTTAAAGATGTCAGCTTTATAGGAATCTTTTCTTTTTTACTACTTTGCGAACGGTTTCTATCCTTCATTTGTGGGTCGATCGCTACTTCTAAAATGTTTACATGTACAGTATGCCTATACACCCCAAAGACCAGAATAGGACATGAACAATGGTGTAACAGAATAAGAAGAGAGAAGGACTTAAAATAAGTATTATATAGTTTTACATTTTAAACCTATATTTGGCATATATAGAGTTTTGACTATATATGTTATTGTTATCCAAATAAGCTTTAAAGCTCACAGCTCAAGCTGAGAAGTTCAAAGTAAATGTTTGACGTTAAAAAATAGCAGTTGAAAAAAGCATTTCAATATCATGCAATAATATTCATGAAAGCATTGAAAGATTCAGAAACAAAATCAAATCAATTATTTTCATAGTGAAATTTTTTGAAATACAAACTTCACACAACATATAATCCACTCCCTATGTTTTATAATAATGGTTTGGCTGAGTAATGACTACTTACATGTGCTGGTTTTGGTCTGCTAGGAGAAATATCGGAGCTGCTGGTTGTTTCCCAGAAAAGGCCTGAATGCTTTCACTTTCTTCCTGTGTCATGCTTCTTAAAGGGACAGGCACGGTTTTTGTCCTTATGAAGTCAGAGGCTTTTTTGAGGGTTGCCTTCGGCCCCCGAGTGTGCACCACATTATTTATTGTTTGAGGATAGATTTCTGTTTTTGTTCAGTACATTTCTGCCTGATTGATTTCTCAGAGTCTCTCACTGCTCCCCCTACTGCTCTTCCTCTTATCTTCCTCCAGTGTGTGTGTGTGTGTGTGTGTGTGTGTGTGTGTGTGTGTGTGTGTGTGTGTGTGTGTGCGTGTGTGTGTGTGTGTGTGTGTGTGTGTGTGTGTGTGTGTGTGTGTGTGTGTTTCTGTCTCGGTCACTGTGCAACAAATCTGTGTGAGTATGTGTGTCGGTGTGTGAGGTGGCGTGAGGGTTGCACTGTGTAGATAATGTTCGGCCAAGCTGTGTGTGTTGTGGAGATAAGACCGCTGCTGGTTGCAGAGAAACCGCTGCCATTAATCAAAGTGTACTAGCTGCTTAGCCACAAAGAACACTCTGGGGCTTCAGTATGTGCAAAGAAAGACTCAAATCCTTCAGAGAACGTATGGTCATCATGGGACAAATTCATAATTAAAATTCACGGTTAATTGTGGGGATCCGTTGATAAAGGTAATGAAAGGAATCAAGAAAGAGGGAAGGACGCAAGAAAAAAAGGAACAAATAAGGGATGGAAGGATTAAGGAAGAAGTGAGAGCAATAAAAAAGACGGATAACATTTAAAAAGAAATCTTGGTTTGTTGAGATTTCTATCATATTGCCAATAAAATCAGTATAGAAATAAACGCCTGTCCAACCAAATCACTCAGACAGACGTTTCAATAAAGACAAATATATAGATACAATTCAAATGAATACAATAATAAGACAAATAGTACAATACAAAGTGTACAGATATAAACATTACAATTTATATTCCCTTATGCTATATTTATATATATATATATATGTGCATTTTCTTTTCAGTCAATAATAATACAAAAACTATTTTCACTTGCTTTTAACAATACACTTCAACCTCTTCAACCTAAGGCATGTTAACAACTCCCATTTCCACACCACATTTTATAGGCATATTGTCCAAAATCGATCATTCCTGTAATGACATTGGTGACTCTCTTATTGTACCTCCTTTGCCGTCAGCAGTTATTTTTGGCTTTTCTTGAAAAAATAGATGGATTTCATCATAATTTACATAATAAAAACACCCTTTAAACAAGGATACAGATGTTCTGTGTCTAAGAAAGAGGATGGCCTTTTTCTATGAATCTAGTAAAAACTACCTCTGGGCACATTAGTGTGTATACTTTTATGTGTACCACTCTGCTCGTTAAAATCTGCTATAATAATAATAATGTACGTTTTTACACGGCCTCAGTTTATAACCTGCTCTATATTTTGGGGCCTGATTCCGCTTCACTTTGATGTCAGCAGTTTCCCTCTCAGTCTGTCTGAGCTTCACTCGTCCTTCTCAGAGAAGATTACTTGTGATCACGTGAAGTAAGAGCGGGTTTAAGGACATTTCACCAGTTCAACGTAGATCAGCCGGGTAAATGCATTAGGAAGGGTCCTGCTGTGATAGTGGACAGCATATGAGCATCATCCATGTAAGCCTTTATACTCAGATAACATACAGACATGGGGATAATGGGACTTGAATAAGAGCAATTCCACTCCTCTTTCTACCCTCAATTCTCCCAAACTTTTCCCCTTTTATTCACATTATCCACCCTGACCCAAATTCCCCTTATCTCATTCTCCTTCCTCCACATTAACGCTCTCTCCCCTCCCTCCCACTTCTCTTTGTGCAGTGCCTCTGTCCTGCTCTGAGGGATTCACAGAGTTGGGATACTACAACGGCACCGTTTCCCAGACGGACTCTGGCGCCCCCTGTCTGAAGTGGACCGAGTTTCCAGACTATGTCATGCAGTACCCGGGCCGGGGGCTGGGGGACCACAGCTACTGCAGGAACCCCGACCGAGAGTCCAACCCCTGGTGCTTCTTCAGACAAAACTCTGGAGCCATCGGATGGGCCTACTGCGACTGCCACCAGGGTACGACCCCGGACCACCAGGACGCGACTGACCACGACAATTTATAATAATAGCCATAAGAATAATACGCTTTGTTTTTATAGCAGAAGTTATAAATTGCCACACAATTTAGAAAAAACACAGATAATCAACAAAAGACATTATCAAAAAATATATTACAATATATAAAAATGTATTTGTTATATTTCTAAATGCATTACAGGTAGTTCCGATTAATTAAATGTAACCTTTTTTTTTAATATGGAACAGGCACAATCATACAGGGTAACAATTGAGATAATGACCTTCATCCATTTTCAGAACAAACCATCTCCTCCCCTCCCACCCCACCATAAATAGTTTAATTAAAAAACACATTGATTCCACGTACAGATATAAAAAATAAAAACACAGTGACAAAAAACAATATCAATTACAATAAGTAAATAAAATGGCAACTAAAAACCGATCAGTAAGTAAACATAAATAAGAAGATAGTAACACAAAAAAAAAAGTAGAAATTATTTCCCGCTATTGGGTTGGGAGTGTTGATAGGTTGTTGAAATAATCGATCAAACATAGCCATTTGTTATATAAACTTTCTACAGAGCCTCCAAGAGTATATTTTACCATCTCAAGTTTCAGAGGGGTTAGCATTGAGTGGCAGAGAGACAAAAATAGTGACTTGCTTGTGAACATAGTAGAGTACTTAGCAGCTGAATGGCCAGATATTACCCTCAATAGTTAACGTAGACCAAAACAGAGCTAAAAGAAGATTAAATACTGGACATAGACCTAAAACTCACCTTCATGTTTTCCTATATTTGTTGGCTGTGTTAATTGAACATTGCTTTCTAATATATTTGCCAAAGCAGAGTAATATTAAATGTCATGTGTGTTCTCAGCTTGTTTTGCACCCCCCCAAAATCGTGTTTATTAAACTGTCTCGTCTGTTTTTCACTTCTCAGGTGCGGCGCGTCTGGTTGGCAGCTCGGCCTCTGGGAGTGGCCGTGTGGAGGTCTACCTGAACGGCCAGTGGGGGGCGGTGTGTGACTCCCACTGGACCGACAGAGACGCCAGTGTCATCTGCAGGCAGCTGGGCCTCGGGTAGGAGAAAGCGTTTCTTAAAATCAATATTGTAAAACAGGTGTGAAATAAAGTTTTACTAAGTTCGCTGTCTTACATCTCTGAGAACAGGGGTATTTGTTGTTGTAATACTCATTTAGGCCACAAGAGGCTACTTCAGTACATGATACCACCTTGGTTCCAGAGAACTGCAGACCACAGTTTTTAAGAGAATTGTCAATAGTGTGACTCAGGACATCCTAAACAAATCATGATTTTTAAATAGCCTATATCAATTATATAATAGTGACTGCAATTATCTTTATCGCTCAACCAAGATAGGAAAAAATGGCGTCGCACATTACGCCGTACAGTTGAAGAATTGAAGACATGTTTTGTTGCCATTGAAAAGATTCAACATTTGTGGAATTTAAGATGATTTTTACAGAAGTTTCATTAGGAGTCAAAATCACTGTAAGTATCCCTTATGTAGTTAAAGATAATATCAAAGCTACATTTGAAATGTTGTTGCTCATAATTTGATTACTGAAACACATTTTTAAAAGGTTTTCTAACTCATAACTGCTCCATTGTCCTTCCTCGAACTGTGCTGTCATAATTAATGAGACGCAGGCGGAGAACTGTATCTCGTTCTCACATTTTGTTGAGTACCTGTATTTCTTCTACTGCATTAAACACTCATTCCGGCAGGCCTGAGCTGTTGTTTTAAACCAGTAGTGAAAATATACAACAGATCCCGTTCTGACAGAAATGCACAATGCATATTCACAGTACAGGGGAGGGGCTGTAGGGGACCGAAAGACATGGGCTGCTGTGTAAAAAACCCAGTAGAAATGCGTGCATGTGTGTGAGAATAGTAACCGTCGAAACAATGGTGGCAATTCTCTGGGAATAAAACACAAACAAACTATTTGGATTGGGCATTTCAAACTTTTCTTTCACAGCAAAATCACCCATACATACTTCTGGAGATCTGCCTGATTGTCTTCATGTACCAACATATATACCTTTTTTTCAACCTGTCCAGTAACAAGAGAGATCTTTATAAACACACAACCTAACGCCAATGCACCAACATTATCTGTATAGAGTGGATCAGGGAGGTTATTAATATTATGAAGTTGGAGAAGAATGTTTGTTAACCTGCACCTGAGATAGAGATTGGATCCATTATTCAACTATTTTGGAAAATCCTTTTTTCAACTGTTCTTAAAGGTCACCTATCATGCATAATCCACTTCTTCATGTCTTTTAAACATAAAAATGTATCCCACTCTGTATTAAGAGACTCTGAAAGTTTCAAGAAAAAAGAACCCCTCTCTTTTTGTCCTAAACCATCGATATAAAAACCTGATCTGAAAACGAGCTGATCAGATTTTGGCCACTTTGTGATGTCACAATGGTGTTCCGGGTTTTGCAACCATTAGCCAATAACCAACCAAGGTAAAAGAAAACCATTGTGTTCTTTTTAAACCAATCACTTCTCAGAGGGGCGTGGCCAGAAGCATCTCATTAGCATTTAAAGCTACAGACACAGAATCAGCACTTTTGGAACAGGGTTGAAACAGAAGGGTATATGGCGTGCTACAGTGATCTGTTTGGTATTTCAGCCAAACACTTCAGAGACATGTTTTGTATATATCTGAGACCCAGTGGTTGCGTTAGACTTTTTCGTTGTCCGTCATTTTGACAATCAGCTGCCGTGACATTTTTCGATTGCTAAAGCCGGTTAAACAACGAGGTAATCAACGAGGTCAAAAACAAGACTAGACAATAGCTACTTAATATACACACACTCGCCACCAACTGGACAGGGGTGTGAATGACTAAATAATAGTTACCGACTACAGTAGAGTACAGTAGATCGCCCTCAGTCTACCTGGCCACTAAGGATGTAATATAATGTGGGCCGCTGGTGGACATTTTGGTGCTGTTCCGAGTTGTGTTCTAATCTGTCAAAATGACGGACTGCTTTCAGATTTTTCCGTCATTGTTAGAAAAAAATCCGTCATTGACGGAAAATATTCGGTTAATGCGACCTCTGCTGAGACCTATAATATATTGTTGAAAAAGAGTATAATAGGGGACCTTTAAGTAATAAACACATGAGAGGAAATCATTTAGATCAGAAACTGGACCACCAGGGCTTCCATAGTGATGCTGTTATTGTTTGTTATCAGGGACATTGGATCAACGGTGCAGCGCTCTCAGTTCGGCTCGGGCTCTGGCCTCTTCCATTACGAGCGTCTGGGTTGCCGTGGCGACGAGAACACTCTGAGTACGTGCCGGAGCCGGACATTCGTCACCGGCGACTGTAGCCATGGAAACGAGGCAGCAGTGGTGTGTGCACCACCGGAAGGTCAGTGTGACTTCCACAGTGTCATGGCAACCAGACCTGAATACCCCCCCACCGCACACCTAGACACACACACCTAGACACACACACACACACACACACACACACACACACACACACACACACACACACACACACACACACACACACACACACACACACACACACACACACACACACACACACACACACACACACACACACACACACACACGGGGGAGGGATTTATCTGTATTTCTGTGAGAATTATTCAAAAAGAAAATGTATTTATACTTTTCTATACGGTAGTATTTCCTGCTTTGTTAACAATGTACTTCATTACAGTCGTGCAAATAAAGGAGGATTCACTTAAAATATATCTATATATTTAGAGAGAGATGGATGCTGTTTGACCTACATGGGAATATTTCTACATCCTCTCTCAGGCAGTGGCCCTCCGCTGCGATTGGTCGGAGGCGAGGAAGACTTTGAAGGTCGGGTGGAGGTGTTTCACACAGGAAGGTGGGGCTCCATCTGCGACGACCAGTGGGACGACAGAGATGCTGAGGTGGTGTGCAGACAGCTGGGATTCGGGTACGTAAATAGGATTTTTCACACACGTTAAGATGTATTCATCCATTTTACAATCCATTTTGAATCCTCCACTCTGTCCGTAGCTCACAGGTTCATACTGAATATATAAATCATGAAAATATAGTTTCATTTTTTAAAACAGAGAGAACTGACATTTTAAATAATTGTGACCGAAATATATATAAATAATGTATATATTCCTTGTTATATACTGTAAAGTCCACATCCTCAAACTGTAAAATATCAAATGGGTGAAGCTAGAGGTTGAGCAGATGTTAAAAGATCTGTTCCTGCAGAGTGACACTTTGGGCTCCAGATCGTGCCACCATGTGACTAAAGTGAAATGCCTCTTTAGTCCACATGCAATGATTGTATATTGAAAACAGCCTTTGTTCTCAAATAAATCCTGTCCACATAAACAAGGTTTTAAAAAGAAATCTGTATGTAGATGAAGATGAAATTGGAGGGTTGTGATATCTAGTGAGCAGGTTGGTACACACACACCGACACAGACACACACTGGAGACATTTGTGATGGGGTATTTGTCGTAGGAGTGTATGATAATGTACCGGAGACCCCTTTGAGGCCTTCTGACGCCTCTGTTTTTTAATATAGTTTAAGAGTAGGCCTATATGTCCACTTTAATGGAGGTATTAATGCTGCTGTTGCGCTACGTGTCGCCTCATTACTGGCACCTCATAAAGGAGAGGCGCCGCACACTCTCAGGACAGTGTATGGAGGGGGATTGACTCAATATAAACTGCACTGCCATTGTTCATCGTAATGAAGGAACAAGTCACGCAGTGCAACAGTGTGACTCATTTCTGGGGTTTTAAGAGTTCCAATAGCTCCAATAACAATGGAGCTGTGAGTCACAAAGGAAAAGGCTTTGCAATATACATTCTTAGTTTTCTTTGTCTTTCCATTGATGTAGTTGACAATACAATTATAGATTATAACCAGCCTTACCCTTTTTTTTTAATCAGAAGTAAAACATGTAAAAATACAAGACACAGATGCTCCCATGAACAGGAAACAGATGTCACCATAGAAACTGACAGATGCTTTGCATGCATAACATCCTCTAAATGAACATGTGTCGAAGATTGTTGCTAATTGAAGCCTGCATTTGAAGATCAAATAAGAGTAGGGCAGGATTGAGCCTTGGACTGACCCACACTGACTTCTTATTCTCATAAGAATCAAACATGGAGGTATTTTCCTAGTAAAACAAAACAAAACCGTAAGTTTGTCTGTTGAGGTAGATTGTGTTTGAATGTGTGCAGATGTTCCCCTCCTCTCACACACAGTGTATCCCCTGCAGAGGTGTAACATCCCTGACAGCTTTCAAACAAACGATGAAGAGAAATATTACTCCTTCCATGTTCAACATTAGGTTGCATTTCATCTCCTCTGACACAATGGGACATCTCACCAGCTGTGTTTGTGCTTCTGAATAATGAATGTGCTGATGCAGGTTCTCTCACAGCTGCACACACACAGTTTTGACACTCAAAGACAAATGAGGAGATTTGTTTTTTATCCCACATGAATAGTTTTTCTTTCACTGCGCTATGCATGTGTTAAACAGTTACACACTTTTAACAATCTCATATTTTGCCAATTCCTGCTAGGATATTATTCTACTACTGCACAAGATAACAGTAAACAGTGTTTTATTATGATATGTGAGGTTAGCTAGTAAACCCAAATCACTTTTGTTGAATTGATATGCCCCAAAGCTCACAAATGAATCACAAAATAAATGGGAATTCTTTCAACAATATTATTTGGCCCATACCAAGATATATCTGATCAACTTACACGCAAGACATGAAAACATATATTTCATTTGCTTTACTGTACCTTAAAAATTCTGCAACAACATGACACGAGTAACAACACAAATGACAGAATTATCTTCTTATCCCTCCTTATTTTTTACCATATTGTCTACAATTCCTTTAAAAAAGCTCCATATTTATAATATAAATAACATGTATGTGTTTGTGTGTTGACAGTAGATATACAACAAGTTCTCTTAAATCTTTCCTTTTTCCGTGGGCTTTACTGTTCTTTCATTTTCAGCTTAATATGAATTCCAGCTGTAGCCGACACAGGAGCAGAAAGGCATGGATTCACGCAAAACACACAGAAGTGCTTCATGTTGCATTTAGCATCAATAATTAATCTCCACATGAACATCCTAGCTTTTCATGATTTATGAGGATGGTTTGATTTATTTTGAGAGCATTTCTTTTACTTTTTTGCTATGTCTTGTTTTGTAGGAACTGGGCAACACTACAGCTACTTATTTATTTCTAGTGAATAAGCTGGTATATTATCAACGTCATATCAATCATAAAGATCATAAATGACATAAATGATCCCGTGACTCTAGTGCCACCCTGAGGTTGAAATGTGGGTTTATTTTAAGTATTGAAAACGATTTGATGCTATGAAATTCATGTTCCCCTAAAGATGACATTTAATGACTTCCATGATCCTTTAACTCTTTATTTTGCACCATCATACAGTCAGTAAATATAATGAAAACATTTGCTCATATGTTGTAGGGGCGTAGCGAAGGCCTGGTCGTGGGCTCACTTCGGTCAGGGGTCCGGCCCGATCCTGCTGGATGCCGTGAAGTGCACAGGAAACGAGCTCTTCCTGGACCAGTGTCCCCATGGCGACTGGGAGCAGCACAACTGTGACCACATGGAGGATGCTGGGGTCTCCTGCAGCCCTTATACAGGTACAGGTACATGTACAGCACACACACACACACACACACACACACACACACACACACACACACACACACACACACACACACACACACACACACACACACACACACACACACACACACACACACACACACACACCCCAATGTACACTGAGAGGCTTGAAGTTGCTATTTATAGCCGCTGAACATCAATAAATCATTACAGCATGAAGCAGCAACATCCTCTGTGTGACGAGCAGAACCAGGATTCATGGGAACTGAGGACTAACATGTGTACTGGCATGACATGCAGCTAGTATTCAGCAAAGCACCTTTAATGATTCATCTGAAAATGATACATTCATGTTTGAATCTATAAAAAATGTATCTTGCCTCAAAGTTGCATTAAGGATTTTTCTTTTGAGTCGAGTGTAACCGCATGAATCCCTTTTACAGTCCCAAGACTTTGCCTCAATACGAATCTGTTTCAGACGGGGTGGTGCGCCTGGTTGGAGGAGACAGTCCCTGGGAGGGGCGGGTGGAGGTTTTCCACAGCGGGGACTGGGGTACGGTGTGTGACGACCACTGGAGCCAGCAGCATGCAGAGGTGGTCTGCAGACAGCTGGGCTACAGGTACGGAGAGATGCACACCGATGAATCACTTTTTTAAATGTTTTACTCGGATCCAATCATACATTCAATGGGTACTTCTGCGGCCAATTCTACACCCTTCGACCAAGTAACATGAAAATCAGACCAGTGTTTTTTTTAAATGTTTTTGCTGATAAAAAATAGACAAACAAACTAAATTGAAAACATAACGTCAGGGTGGAGGTTAGCAACCAAAATTACATTATTAGTCACCTGCAAAAGCTCAACTAGTATTAATAATGTCATCATTTTATTATTCTAATGTGATTTTTGACTAAATCATACCAGAATTCAGGTAGATGATGTGATGAGGTGAACACACTTCTTGTTGTGTAACTTTGCATGTGTTGTGTTGAGTATCTGTATGACTTCTCCTCCTCCTTCAGGGGTCACGCGGAGGTCGTGTCTGACGGGATGTTTGGCGAGGGTGTGGGTCTGATCCTCCTGGACGATGTCCACTGTGAGGGGTCCGAGACGTCCCTGCTGGACTGTCCTCACGGGATCTGGGGCCGGACCGACTGCTCCCACAGCGAGGACGTCGGGGTCCGCTGCAGAAAACGACCCAGCCAAGAAACCAACCAGGTGCCGGTCATCGCACCTTCCACAGGTACGAGACGAGGGTGAACAACGCCTGACTGCATATTGTTTTATATATATGGGTGCTGATTAGAAAAATTCACCTCTTCATTTTCTGTGCTCCTGATGCCTCTTAGATTATTGAATGTTATTCATGGTCTCAGCGCCATCACTACTCAAAAACTTGTTGAAAAGTCATATTATTGTATGTCAAATGACATAAAAAGGGATAGTACTGTATAGTATAAAAAATGTGATGAGAAAAGTTCAAGCTTAGTGTTCATCTAAATCAGGGGTGTCCAAACTTTTTTCACAGAGGGCCACTCACAGAAAGATATACAAAGGTCTGGGCCCCTCACTAGAGGTGAGGTATATGACCTCATAAGGAAAGTCATAAGTCAGCTAAATCAATCAAAAGTAGGTCAATTAAGCTTGATACTTGAATATGCTTTAAGAAAAACAACAGCCTACATCACAGCTCTCCATAGGGTTTCATTTATTTTGCAGATTGCTTATAATAAGAGGAAATAGGAAGGGTTTATTTCAAGCTTGTTATGTAAATAAGTTATTTGGCTTTTTGTTTTCAGTTTTAATTGACTGAATTTATTTGAGTGGGCTTCTTAACACATAATACTACTGTGTAATAATTGTTTTCATCTATATTTAAAAAGTACAATACAAGACAAACACCAATTTCATTTGTGGGCCAGACTCCATTATACTTTTTGAATTTGCCGAGGGCCGATTCAAAATGTGCATTCGGCCCCCGGGGCGTAGTTTGGACAGCCCTGATCTAAATGTATCTAAACAAAGATCAAACAAAGAAGAGTTAAAGTATATCATATAAAACAATGATCAAATTATTAAAATATAGTACAATACAAAAATACATAGTATAGTGTGTTATTAAAAAGTCATTGTTAAGCATGTAAAACAAAAAAAAATCATTGTATTTAAGTATGTCATAAAAAAGGTTTAAAAAAATCATTGTATAGTGTGCCGTAATCAATATCACAAAAGTCGTAGTATAGTAAGTCTGTCAAAAAAATATGTATTATTATTATTATTATGTACCAAAGAGATAATTAAAAAGGCACATTTGACTTTGATTCAATGTTGTGTGAGAGTACACCAGACTCACATTTTATGTTCATTTGGAAAGAGTAGGAAGACAAAAGGACCGCTGCACTGCAGAAGTTTGGAGCCTGCTATTAATTTGGTTCCAAAAGGGTAAGCTGTCCCTGCAGAGTGCTGATCTCAGGCCAGCTGTGAACTGTTTACTTAATACAACTCTTTCAGCAGTAGACTCTACCTAATACACATTTGCTTTAAATTGCTAATCGACAAAGATGTTTCTGTCTGGCCTCTGAGAGATTGAAGTCTCCTTTAGTGCCACTGTATGATTATCAGTGTGAAAACTTCAGTGTTTTTCTGTGTCCAGAGAGTTGAAATGCCACATGTTGACAGCAGAGAGAATAAAGAGGTGTTTACTGCACCTCCTGTAGACACACACTCCATTAGAATGAGAATAGCAGCAGAATAAAGAGGCACCAGATGACATTTACCTCTGCCAGCGGACATAACTCTCAGCAGACTGTTGACTGGAGTATGTAGGTGCACCCACATGAATATGAATCAGCGATGTGTGTTTTTTTCTCCCGTCAGGTCCCCTGGTGCGTCTGGTGGGGGGCAGCAGCAGAAAGGAGGGTCGAGTCGAGGTGTATCTCCATGGTGACTGGGGAAGTATTTGTGACTCAGGCTGGAACGACCTGAATGCAGCCGTGGTGTGCAGACAGCTCGGACACAGGTTAGTATTTAAATGCATGAATTAACAGACAAAATATCCTCACACTCACACAGCTATATACGTATCTGTGCAACAGGACAAAGCATCTATGAAAATGAAGACCAAATATCAAGATCAATATTAAACAGGCCTACATTGAATGCAAAACATCAACAAATGTAGTCAAATCTATATCATAAATCGCAGGAAAAATCCAATCTACTAAGTACATACGTAGAAAAATAGAATACAGTTATAAGTACTTGCCCATCTGTTACTTTAGCGATTAGCCGGGATTAGTTTTGACACCTATAGAAAGGACATATTTATGCACAGATAACAGACATGAATAGTTTTATAATTACCGGTACAGTGGGTTATTATAGTGGAGTATTAGTTTGATAATTATAGGTAATAATGAAGTAATACCTTCCAAATGACTGAAGGAATAACTGGGAAGCTTAGTTTGTATAATGCCTGTATAAGTGGGTAATATTATATTATATAACAATAACAAAGAAAAAAAACATATTAAAGCCAATAGTCAAGCTAAAAGTAGTAATAGTAATTTAATATTTTTGGTAACAATATGGTTACATAATAGGGTTGTTTTTTCTGGCATTTCAACAATATAGTATAAATGTTGAGAATAAAGCTAAACCTCTGGTATATGCGCTAATCCTAGTAGTTTGATTTGTACTCATCATTTCTAGTTTATTCTCAAAATGCAAAAACACAAAAATCTTTCTTTGATATTTCGTTTTTCTTATGCCTGGACCTCATACTGAAAGTTTATTCTCAACACTTAGACTTAATGAATTGAATTGCAGATTTATAAATAATGACTTTTTTTCAGTCAGTGCAATATTTGAAAGAAAAAATGCTAATATGTTGACATTAATGGGGTGATAAAAATATTAGGACTGTATTAACTTAACCTTCCACATCGTATGAAAATGACTTGCAGAATTGACTGTACATTACTATGCATTTTAATCATTCTTATTTAGTTAATCTCACCAACATTCTTTCTCCCCCTCAGTCTAGGAGCAGTAGCAGCGGGGGGGTTCGGTCAGGGCAAGGGGCCGATCCACCTGGACCAGGTGAGGTGCACGGGGAAGGAGGAGTTCCTGGGGGAGTGTCCCTCTCTGGGCCAGAGCACCCAGAGCTGCAGGCGGAGGGTGGATGCGGGGGTGAAGTGTGACGCCCCCCCTCGGGAGTCGGCGGGGGCCAAGCCTCGGGAGCTGAGCTGTGGGCTGAGGAAGCTGGGGGAGGAGGAGAGCAAGAGGGAGAGCCAGGGGGAGAGAAACATGCTCAGGTAGGATATAGGACAAAGTGTGGAGGTACAAAACATCCAAATCTGAAACTCTGTCCTGGTGACATAAGACACTCAGGACTTGTAGTGGCAAGTGTGAATACAGAACACACTGTACAACATTTCCACAGTAAAAGAGTCTATATTATATTTTAATAACATTTTCAGAATAAGAAATATAAACTGCTTTATGTTATAGTTACTCCTATAAAGGACGGGAACATTTATATTCAATCTAATATTTAATATTCCATTCCTCACATACTTATGTATATCTTATTTTGTATTACTGTAAATTTGTTATTCAACATGTATATTTTCTACTTTTTTTTCTAATGCTAATTTATTTCTATTGAGATGTTTACATTTTGGAATGTTTATTTCTAGTCTTTTAATTTGTATTGTACAATGCCATATATTTTTATGCTGCTGCAACGCAAACATTTCCCAAATTGGGATCAATAAAGTATTTCTTATCTTATCATATCTTAAGACAAAAAAAAATACCACAATGTAATTGAATTTTTGGCCTGGTCTTTGGTTAGATAACGTTTTGATTCAAATCTCCTCCCATTGGCTGTCAGCACCTCGTGGCCCTGGCGGGTGTCGGTGTGGCTCCACTCTCAAGAAGATGGCGGCCCCCTCTGCAGTGGCACCCTGATCAGCCCCTGCTGGGCCCTGACCTCTGCCTCCTGTGTCAGCAGGTGAGACCACCGCTGGACTACAAATCTATACAAAAAATCAGTGAGAAGAAGTCATAACGCACCAACACTTGTCACCACCCTCCCCCCCCCCCCCCCCGGTTGGGCAGCGACCCCTCCAGGTACGTGGTGCGCATCGGGGCGTCGGAGCAGACCCTCACTCCGCAGCAGGTGGTGGTCCACAGGAAGTTCAAAGGTCAGAGTGGAGGTCACGATCTGGCTTTGCTGAAGCTTCCCAGCACCAAGGGCCACTGCCTGACGTTCGACCCCAACACCAACGCAGCATGCCTCCCAGCTGCAGACGCTTCATCAGGAGGGATTCCTCCTTCTTCTTGCGTTGTCATAGTTACCGCTGGTTTGACAGGACCAGGTATGTGTTTTTCCTCTCAAGTGTACTTCAGTTATATCTCTTTAAATATAAAAGAATACATTGGATATCTTTTTTTTAAAAGGGTTTCAAATGCCACTCGTAGAACATGCTACTGTGTATCAAATGAAGCATTAATTAAATAACAGTCAGACATCAGTCATTACCTGCTTCCGTTGGTTGGCTCTGTGGATGTTAAAAATACTTTATTGTCTGGTTAAAAATATGAAAAAACTAATGGAAAAGTATATCTGAACATGGTGAAAAAATGATGGTCTACTTTCTTGAAAATACAGAGAAAAAGTTATAGTATAACATGTCGAAGAAATGATAGTAAAGTATGTTGAAAATATCTTTAAAAAGGCCTTTGTATAGTATGAAATGTTTTATTTATTTATTTTAAAATATACATAGAGTATGTCAAAAAACGACATAGCACAGTATGTCAAACATTTCAGTAAAAATCTACATATTCAAAAACACAGCATAGTATATGGTATGTTTAAAAACATTCAAAGAAAATAAAAAATGACATAAGTTGAACATTTTGGAAAAAAACGACATAATGCAGTGCGTCGAAAATTTCAGAAAAAACGACAAAGTATAGTATGTCGATCGGTACACTTTGTAGTGACTTTTCACTTTTCTGTAGCAAGATTGCAAAGAAATGGCAAAATCCCAATCTATCCCCTGATAACCTCCTCATCAGCTGTTCTGTATTTAATGCTAATCAACAAATGTTACGATGCTAATACTGTGATTAGAAAATAAATGATATACTATGACAGTTTTATCCTCACTATGACACACAGACATAACAGAAAAAACAAGCCTGTCAGATTCTATCAATGATTTAAGTTAGTTAATTAGATATAACTCTTGCACTTCTGAAACGATTGATTAATAGTCGCATGTGATGTAATCAATACATTGTTATTGATTCACTTAGAAATTAATCAACTAATTGTTCATTTATATAATCTCCTCCCTCCTCTCTCTCAGACTCAGTTCTTGCATCCTGGGTCCCTCTGATGTCGTCATGGCAATGTAAGAAGCGCTATGGCGACAGCTTCTCCAGCCACGGCACCCTGTGCGCCGGCAGCCCTCCAGACACCAGCCTCCTCCACGACAACGGTTGTCAGGGCAACTCTGGCGGTGGGCTGGTGTGTCAGGGGGAGTCCGGTCGATGGTTCCTCACCGGGGTCGTCGCCGGGGGTAACGGCTGCTCCGACCCCTCCTCTCCGTCGCTGTACACTCGAGTCAGCCGCTTCAAGAGCTGGATCGAGGAAGTCACCGACACACACCCAGAGGAGGCGCACACACACACAGACACACAACAAGATCTCACACACGCTGACAGTGACCCGACACACACACACAGCGAGGGCAAGAGCGAGCACTCCCACGTGCACAAACACACACACGATCAACAGGAAACAAATGAAATCATTGAGATTACTAAGAAACACACTCATCATACACACACCAAGCAGCACGTTAACACACACACACACCACGGAGGGGATGACACAGACGCACAGATCCTGGTCTGAGTGAAGCTGACCATCTGACCATGTGAGCGCCTGAGGAGGAGGAGGAGGAGGAGGAGGAGAAGGAGGAGGAGGAGGAGGAGGAGGAGAGTTACAGGAAGTAAACATTAAAGAAAAGAAAGATGCCTCTAACTTAGGTCAGTGCAAACATGTCCGATCTGAACTCAGCGGTGTGTGTGTGTGTGTGTGTGTGTGTGTGTGTGTGTGTGTGTGTGTGTGTGGTGTGGTGTGTGTGTGTGTGTGGACATGGGCAGACCTTGCGGAGTGTGTGTGGGTGAGTTTGAGTTGCTTTACATGTGAGTTACAGCCCGACGAGAGGCCGAACAAAGACGTTTAGGTTGAGCCTGGCATGCTGATCGAGGCCTTTCACTGATACCCCAAAATCAAAAAAATCAGCATGGCATGTATTTTAAGTGTTCTAAAGATTCCGGGGATATTTCTGATGGTCACACGAGACTCTATGCTAAAAATTCACCTATTATTGTGCGTCTTTTGTGTGTTTAGTGACGGAAATCAACTAACTAACCACCAGAACATCTAGAATAAAGGCTGACTGTGTTATTGTTGTCCCTCTAACATTATAGACGAAACTCAGATATGGGCTTTTTTCTCGCAGGGCTCGTCTCTTCAGGCTGTTGTCTGTTTCCTAAACTGATGAAAGTGCTGTTTAGACCCACGACTAAGCTATTTATCTTAGGACCATACCAGTGATTCTTCATGTTTTATTGTATTTATTCCCATTTCCAATGATGTATTTGTCTACTGTTGACTATTTATAACTATAAGGTTAATTACATTGGTGCTGTACCTACGTAATGGGTGCTGCTTATTAATAAGGAACACTTGTTTTAAAAGGTTACAAGTGTTTATTAATGAAGAACTAACAAATAAAAGATCAGCATTTAAAGAGAGCAGGTTTATAATAACAACTAACTTCTGTTGTTGGCTAACACAACTTTGTTTTTAAGGACTTCTTAACATTTATAAAGGGAGGCTTGATATCAGAAAGAAGACACACTGAGTATTATTAAGAGAGATTATTCAGGAGGTTTTCTACCTGAGTGGTAAAGCAATACAAACCATCGATAAAGGCATAGCCAACATAGTTTAAAACCCCTTTATAATGGAGGTTTCGTTATAAAGTGGCTGATGATGTAGAGAGCCTCACGCACTTAAGCATCATAAATGTGAGGATTTTCTCAAAAGCCTTCCCTTGCTTTCCTGGAAGCTGTTGGTTTCCATTGATTTCACAACGAAAACCTGTTGAATCCATCACGATAAATGTTAAATCTGCATTATTTCTGTTGTCAGAGCCCCATTAATGCTGAGAGGTACCGCAGTGCTATACCTTCTCAGATCAATTCAACTGCATTACCTCGCAACAGTCATGGGGAAAAAAGACGTCTTGCAGACATGGTGATGGAATACTCAACTCACTCAAGCTAATTGATTTCAATTCCAAAGGGAAAACTATAGAAACATTGGCAGCTCAAAAAAAATCTACCAAATGGTTGTCAGCAATTATATCAAGTGTACGTCATTTTTAGTTCTAGATAAAACTTGCAAAAACATCGGTGTGGTCCTTTAAAACTGTACAGGACAATTCTCTCATTTGAAAGCCATTGTAAGATGACTGTCGGGTTTTTAAATATCTTTTTGTATGATTCCAGCAGAAGGTTATAGATAGATAGATAAATAGATAGCTCTCCTCCTGAGATTAGATATGCTGTGTTACTGCGTTGTCTTTTAACTGAATTAGATAGCCGATCTCTCAAAGTTAAATGTTGTCTGTTATTCTGCGAGCGGATGTGCCATCCAACCAGAAGATGGCAACATTGCTCTATTTTTTCACGGGGCCCCGTCTGCTAGATAACATGGCCCTGATACTTCTTTTTATACTGTTGTTATAAGTGTAAGGACTTGTGCTTTGATGTACTGTGAACCATTGTGTCGTGAAGCATCTTGTAGCCTGCAGACTGTTTCTCCAACCTGTCTGCTGTTATAATCCTGTACATTAATCTAACACCTCCTTCCTCACTGACGATTGATGTGTTACCATGCAGATCCTGTAGGTTAATGTAAATACTGTGTGTCTGAGGGAGCAGTGTGGAGAGTTTCCTGGTGTTACACCCGTCAGCTGCTCATCAGTGTAATGTGCTGAATCATGGTTGAGTATTAAAACATATACCTGGTGAGCCCTCAGTGTTGGTGTCTCTTCTCTTTCTTATTAGGCTATTAAATAATACACGTGAATAAACTGTCTTCGTATGTTAAAATAATTATTCGTCCACAGAAAAATGTGGATAACATTATTACATTACATGTTGTTAGATACTTTTATCCAAAGCGACTTACATACTCAATACTGTGGACAATCCCCACAGGAGCAATTTGGGGTGAAGTGTCCTGCCCAGGGACACAACGACATGCTGGGTTTGAACCTGCGACCCCCTGATCCCAAAACCAAGGCTCTATATCCACTGCGTCACACGCCTAACAAAAGCAAATATGTTAAAACCTAATAAAAAAACTAAACACAATTTGCACAGTATGATACAGATTTCAATTATGCAGTCCCATGCTCATATTTAAACCCTTAAATGGTTTATTTCTCCTGTGGGATACATGTGTAGCATAGGGGTAATGTTATTCTAATATGTAAATCAAATCAGTGTAATAACGATGTAATATGGGTGTATGGGTGTAATAATGGTGTAGTATGGGTGTAAAATACATGAAATATGGATTTGATAATATATTAATGTATACCCTGGGCGTCGCAGCCATTATATGAGGGTGGGACAAGTCCCCCCCATTTCTTCAAATGATTAGTTTAGACCCCCCCACTTTTACTCGGTCTATCCACTCGCCGCATTTGTAGAGCGCTGTGTCAGTGATTCACTATCAAATCCATTCCACTTGCTTATTGAGAGAATGCCCAAATCAATGAAACTCTGTACCATGTTTTCACTGCTACTTTGTACCAAGGCAGATTCTCACATAGCGCGCGCATGTTCAAGGAGTGTTGTATAGTTGGACAGCTCAGATCTGTTGTATGAAGCGATGCCGGTAGCGGAGGTAAGGCACACACACCAAATGTTCAGGACATTGTGAATACAGCGAAAATCAAAGCTGACGATCTCTTGGTTTGATATGTGTTCTCCCCCAGACAACATGGACATAAGAAAAAAATTTTCAAAGAAGAGGAAAGTAAGTCTTCAGCTGGTAGCAGTTAATCAGTTAACAGTGATGGTGGCGGCGGCGTCTCACTTCTGGAGAGGAGTTTCGTCGTTATGTCATGATAGAGAGATACAAATACTGAATAGTTTAGATGAGAAAAGGCATCGAAATGCCAGGTTACTAGTATTTATCATGTAAACAGGGAACATGAATAACCCGATCTCTCTGTGCTCATGTAAACACCATGATGTCCATGTATACGCAGTCAGTGTGTTTTACTGGAGCCTCAGTTCGATAAGAGATTATTTTCTGAGTTCTTTAACTTCGGTACTCTCTCTCAAAATGATAATGTGCATTATGTTTTAATTATACTTCTTATCATTCAGAAGCTTTTTGTGTGTGTTTATGTTTTACTGAGTGCTTATAGGCAATTTCCATCCGAGTATTCAGTGTTTATGTTCTGTGCACATTAGACTAGCTAATATTCTACCTACTGCTTGGGACTTTGAGTCTTCAAAATGTCCAATGTCACAGACTGGGACTTACTTTAGAGTCAGTTGTATTTACGTTCAGTATGACTTGTTATGATTAAATGTGAAAGAGTATACTGCTCAATAAATAATGATCACTTCACCACCTCTCTTGACATATAGGCGCTTGAGAGTGAGTCAGAAGCAGAACACAGGGAGAGTGGAGAGAGGTCCATTGCTGAGGTGAGTGATGAAAGGGAAATGACAGTTTAGAGTAAATTGTGATGTGGACTAGAATGTTAAGGAAATCAGTGGTGATATTGAACAGGAAGCATTTCAGTCAAGGGGCATCATATGACCAATATAGACAGAAGAGCAACATTTATTTGAACATTTAAGTCAATGATACCATTCCTAGGCGAACTTAACATTTGTATGGAGTCAGATCAGTCTCAATATTAATAAATGCTCACAGAAGGATTCACAAATGTATTTTGCGATTTATATATAAATGACTCTCTACAACAATATCTCTCAATGCACTCACAAATATTTATTGTTGTATATAAATGTACAAAAAATGGGCATTTAAAACTGCTTTTTATTAATTCAAAGACGGCTCTGAATTAATAATCAAATATGTTTCCTTTCTTTACTGCTGGATGAAATTACAAAATGTACCCATCATTTTCCTCATGCTAGTATAGCCACATAAAAGTATCAAACCACCTGTTAAAATGCACCAGAATACAGGAAATCTATTTTTTTTTCAAAATGTCCCCCCCACATTCAGGATGCTTCCTACGCCCACACAGGAGATACAGAGATACTTGAAAGTAAGTCACATTTTGAAGACAAATTGAAATGTTCCATAGACATTAGATAATAGTAGACTCCTTTTCGAAATTATTTATATGAGCTTGCCCATTTGAGGGTTTATAAACTTTTGGAGACGCATGCCAATAAGCTATTTTATTATTTTCGTTTGGCATGCAAGAAAAGCAAAGTTCTCTTCACCACTTCAGGATTGCACTGGGTGGGTAATTGATATAAAAGTGATCATATTTGTGGGTGAATAATTTTTTTAAAGCCTCAAAATGAGGGCGATTTTGTTATATGCAACGCTGTAATGAATAGTGTAAGTGAAAAGATTGCTTACAAACGCTGTATTGTAAATGAAAAGTAAATCTGCTTAGCTGCTGCTCTCAGTCACTCTTGAGCTTTGTTAATCTTTTCTTTTGTTTGGACTGAAAACTGGGGAAAACAGAGGAAAGTCCCGCTGCAGCGGATTGGCTCATTTTATTGAAAACTGTAGAATAAGTGATTTATAATGAGTATAAAAGACTCTGCTTTTGGGACATGGCTGAATATTGTGAAAACATATTGAGTAGATTTACACCGTTTCGACAAATAACAGAATTGTATTCAAGTTTTTGAAGAGAGTAGAGTTGTAATTCCCAAATGCAAAACTATCTGCTAAATGTATTACAAGTATCAACATAGTGGCTACAAACTATTGTGAATGGTATTATATATTTTACATCGCTTATCAACAGAGCATCTCCCATATATAAAGCTCAACTGTAGTTTCTGACCAAACACAAACTGTCCAACAGAAAAAAAAATGTCAGTCCTTTTGAAATGATAAACCAGAAAAAACGGAAAGAAATACCAATGTACCGTCAGCAACATATTGAAGAGACTATTCTGCTAATGTTCAGGTTTTTCATTTGTATCTTGAGCCTCTGTGACATGTTTCCATGCTTTATTTTTCTCATACTGCCTGTGCAGCAGCACCTCTTTTCACCCTCTGTCTGAAACCAGAGCTCAGTCTGCTCTAATTGGTTAGCTGGCTCTGTTGGGATTGCACAACCACTAACTTACAAGGTGTCGGAGCGCTAACCAATAGGAGTGTGAGTGTTTCATAGTGATGTCATTATGGTATGGAAGAAAACAGTAGTGGGGGGGGGGGTAGTGTGTGGGAGAGAAAACCCACTTTGGGATTTTAGCCTTTGCAGACCATTAACATGCACTTAAACTCATATAACACTACAGGAAAGGGAAAACCCCAGAAAGCATTATAGGGCCCCTTTAAATATTTAAAACGTAACAGGAAGAGCTGCTTAAAGCCTGCCTTCTAACCACTGTCTCCGTAACAGAAAGTATAAGAAAGTGCAATTGTGTAAATTTAATCTGGGTCACAATATTATTATATTAAATTATAACAATTATTTGGGTGTCTTTAAGGATGAGGTGGTGCTGCACCTGCTTAGAGCTTGGACAAATGTTTCCAATTTTGACTAAGATTAACAAATGTAAACCTGTCCTTTAACACCTCAAAAAAGTCAAAAGTAGCACTTTAGAGTCAGGAAGCTCCTTCATTCCTCACATCTCTGCACACTTTTGTTTTTATTGACTTGGAAAGTCAAAGGTCACATTCTCCCTTTTTTTAAAGTCTTAAAGAAAGTGTGAATGTCAAAATTAACCAACCACTGTGAGCGAGCCACACACACACACACACACAATAAGGCTGCAGCATTACTCGACACAGGCTGAAACAGGAGAACAAAGCTTCTGGTGAGAGCGCACGATGCACAGCCATGATTGTTTTATGCTCTGTGTGTATGTTAATGGCCCTGGAGGATATGCAGCGTTATTTAGGGCTTAATCTGACTTTATGCGATGACAGAGACAAGTATGGAGGGCAAATATTACGCCAGCTGTGATGCCGGCTGGTGTTCAGACTCAGAGCATGCAACCAAGCTCAGAAACTCCGTCCAGTTTCATCCAGTGCGCTTGTTTTACTCAAATTAAAACCATTTTTCCTTTATTAAGTAGTGTGTAAACGTCAGCCGAGACAAAGTAGTTCCCTAAAATTGGCCTACATGAGCAGGTATTCAGCAGGACTAATACACGTTGCAGTGTTACGTAATTGGAAACGTGCGCTGCATATCTCTATGACCTCCAAATTTGGTGATTTCATGTTCAGACTGCGGATGAAACGTTCTCAAAATCTTGGCTGAAAAGATAAAAAAATGCACAGGCCAAAAAAGGTTATGTTGTCATTTGAGGGAGGAATTTATTTCCTGGACAGTATAGGTATGTTGGGTCAGACAGTTGAGTTAAAAATCACAACACTTTTTTGGTCTCGGGATAAAGATTTTCCAATAAGATATTTGCTGGAAAAGAAACAAAAATGGTTGTGTGATCAGTGATGACAATCAAATCTAGATAAGAAGAAAACAAAATGAAATAAGCCAGTCAAGAGAGATAAACCAGTGCTGAAATAGTATTTTTATTAAATACTTTCAAGATCCAAGTTTGAAGAATAACAAAGCTATGATGAAGACCAACTAACACTCAGACAAACACTTGATAGTCGTCAATTCATGGTTGTATTTCATTGTACATCATGATCATGCAAAAAAACTCCAGCATCCATGTGAAGGCTGGGGGAGAAAGCGCAGCCCAATAGTATATCATTACAACGCAGGGAAAACGCTAACATCGAGGGCCTCATACCAAGCTACGGCTCCTGAATCATTTTTTTTA